AAACACAAAAGAGAAAAAGTAGAGTAAAAGAGCAAATAAATGGTGTGCGAATAATTGAACATCACGTTTTCGCGCGTTTCAACATGTGAAGGTTTTGTCAGTGGAGCACATCAATGAAGGGATTGGGCGGGGGGGGGGGGGGGAGTTGGATACTAATTTCTTGCTCTTGCGCTTGTAGGAATGGGTAATGTTGATCACACTGTGAGAAGTACATAAGACTTTTGTTAGCTTCAATATCAGCCTTTTAAACGGTGTCCAGGCAAGGAAAGTAAGTTTTTGCTGTACAATGATTATCCAGTAGTAAATAAAAAATCTTCAAAAAAATAGTAATTCTTGTAAAAGCGTTTACTTGTCGGGCATATTCCTACTTCTTACAGATTCATCTAGGAGTGAAAATTGTTTGAGAATATGAAGGGAAATCCTGGCATGCAATCTCGTTGATCCAAGTCGATATAGTGCCGTAGCGGTGCCAACACTTCCTACGCGTGAAAAATGGTCGTGGTGCGTAGATGCTGAAAATGTGTGCTTCATGACTTTTTTGAGCGCAACTAATGTAGGCACCGCGGGAATACTATATTCAGCTTTGAAAACACTACTTTTAGTCATGCTTCGAAAAAAATTCTCCCGGAGGGAGGAAGGGGGGGACCGGCAGAAACTTTTCTGAACCAAAGCGCTTTATAGTGTACTGCGGTGCTGACAACACTTGGGCGTAAAAAAGGTAGTAGGGAGAATATTTTTTTTCACGCGCAAGAATCCACCGCAAAGGCACTTTATTAGTTTCAACCGTCACAAATTTATGGTATGCTTTCTAAAATTTTCGATGGCTTATAACCCCGGAATTTCGAAAAAAACGGGCATGGCGCAACGCAACGAAAAAATTTTTTTACAGTGTTAACTTGAATTTTGAGTTCCTAAAATGAAGCTTGTACATTTATAAATCATGTAAATACTTTGAATAAAAATTTTTCCTCCTTATCCCCACACCTTCCCCCCCCCCCCACGGTCCGTCCATATTTCATTTTCTGTTAAGATGAAAGCACACTGATTTACTATCAATAGCCGAATATTTTTTATTTGGCTTTTCTAATTTTTACCTATTCTTCATTGCTATTATCTTTTATTTGTTTTTCTATACTTATTCTTCTACTCTTCTATTTGTATCTCTGTTCGTTGCCAATGACATTTACGTAAATTATGTATGGATGCAGAAAAATTTTTGGATTGACGCCAATATTAGCCGTTTGCGAATTAAATTAACAACTTCCCGCTGTGCGAAGTGTCGCCAATTATTTTCGGCTATGGAAATCGATTATTATCTAATTTAGGCCATTGGTATGTTGAATTCACATGCAAATTATCCTCTTGATCCTAAAAATAATCCATCTTCTCCTTAGTCCACACTCATCGAGCCGAATGAGTGGATATCTAGGTGCACCAATGTTTATCCGGCGTTTTATTTGTATTGTCGAATCGATCGTAGAGCCACCCGAACCGACCCCCGACACCCCCCTAACAGCCCCACTCTGAAGTACATATAGATCCTGTGCGACAAGCTCAAGTACACTAAAACGACCATTTAATTTCTCCCCACCGGGCTCTGCGGGTCATTGAGCAGGCGGGTTCGGGGCCCCGGTTCTACTTGACCGCTTTTTCCATGCTGCTGTTCCGGTTTCGTACAGTCCCTAGCAATTCCGTTGTCAGTGCAACTCTGAGCAGTCAGGAAGTTCTGTCTGAAACTAAGCCAATTTTTCCAGGCTACTATGGATCTGCTTTGGCTGGTCTTGTCGTTAATTAGCGCAAAATCCTCTTTTGTAGAATCCAGAAGTGAGTTCTTGCATTTACCTTTATCTCCTCTCAAATTTTTACCATTTATGCAGTGAATCTACCTTGCATATATAAATATCGTATAATATTCTTTAATTTGTTTACACTTTTATCATTTTTTCTTATTTATTCACACTTTTATGTCCAAAAGGAACTTCACAAGTGATTTGAATGATTCTATATTGTTAGAACCACTTTCATACTGATCTATTCTTACACCAAGATTTCCATTCAACTTTTCCAATTTGCTTCCTTTTTCACCTCCCATAGCCTCTTCATGTTCTATTTTTGGAATGTAATCTTGGCTAAACCTTTTTCAACAAGGCCAAGTTGGAAATTCCCAAAGTCAAAAATCGCTTGTCTCGAAAACATCAATTTTCAATTTTTGATTATTGTTTGAAATTTTCTGTGTAAAATAACATATCCACTTTGAATCCTTTCCTCTGTTTGCTGCTCGAATTTCTTTAGAAAAGGTAGTTTAGATAAGTATGTCCATTTTTACTGTGTCGCTGAAGTAATTTGCACTCTTTTGCATTTGAAATACGATACCATAGCAAACAGAAAATTGATATCCTTTGTCATCGTTTTGATGTTTATCTAAAAATTGAATGTTTTGGAGCAAAATGTTGAAATAAATCTTCATTTTTAACAAAAGAAGACTAACGGCGCTAAATAACAGCTAATTACTCAGTTAGCAAAAGAGCAAACATCTGTAAGAGAAGATGCTCGCCAAGCCTACGCAAACATACATCTAGGATCATTATAAAAAGTGGTCATGCAAAAGCTAGTGTAGAATGAGGAGAGAGTTTTGTTTCTTTGGAATGTAAGAGATGGCGTACTCCATTTTATAAAAAAGGGAATTATATGGGTTATTTCTCACTACGTTTTGTTCCTTCCCTAAGATGGAGTTTGTCTTGATTCCTAAGTCTTCCCCGGAACTCCTCAGTAAGAGAGGAAGACTTATCAAGTAGAAAGTTGAAATTTAGAAATTTCTTTCACCGTTAACCATGATACATTGAGTTAAATATATGTAAAAATATAGCATGACTTACTTTCAAGGACTGCTGATTACATAGATAGCCGCATCGAAAGTTGTAAATGCATAAATGAAGTTACCTAATTTTTTAAAATTATCACTAATCTATTCACATTCTTTATTATCTGCTATAAGTTCCATTTTTGTAGGCTTTTATAATTTTACAGTTGTTTACAATTATTGAAGAGGCAAAAAGCTGTTATCACAACTTCACTTGTGTCTTGCTCATTCGAATCAAAGAAAACCAAAAAAATTCCTTTTGCAATGAAAATTCTTTTGTTTGTGCACGATGACAGTACTTTTACTCAAGTGGCAACTGTCAAATAATGCAGTTCAGCTATTACAATAATGCATTTTTTAACAATTTGAATATTATATCTGGTATGCTCAATTTCTGCAATCTTCATTGCTTATAATTTCATAAAAACTTGTTGTGTTCATATTACTTGAAATGTAAGTCTTGCATCGAAAAATTTGAAAGATTTTAAAAATGTTTTCATGATTTTTTTCTGAGTTACTACTTTATATACTTCCTGTAACATGCACCAAATAGTGCCATCTACGAGCGTGTTGGGGATTAGATTAGCTCAATGAAAAATGGAAAATAAGAGATTGAAATATGTGATTAATGTAAAATTGTCTATCAAATCCCAAGCAAAAAGAGCAGGTAATGAAAAACCAGTACCACCGTTATAGCAATAATCTTAGTTGTATAAATATCCGTTGACCATTTTTTTGAATGTTTCCCAATCATCTTGTATCATTGTGCTAAGGAAATAAGAAAGGTTGCTGTGAACACCCTTAAGCAAGATTTATTGGTAGATATGAAAGTGAATGACTTCTTTCGAATTAGTGGAAATGACGCTTTTATAAAAGCTTTGGTGCGTGACTTCTGACTCAACCTAGTAATATTGTTTGATCTATGCAAGCCTATTTTAACTTCCAGAGTGAAGCTTATAATTTTTGACCCAAAGTGTATTTTCAGTAGTGTAATCAACCATGGTCAAGATACACATCAGCAATATTGGATTCCGTGTATGAACAGCCAGCGCGTGAAGTAGAAAAAGATTTTCGGGAGAGAAACTATTTGCCTACCTGGATTTCCAACCAGTTCCGAAGTGTATATTTGAAGTGCTAAAGTGTACACAACTGGAGTTTATATCCGGAATATGACAATATTTCCATCACTGGTATGTGTAACATTAATAGAAATGATGGAAGAGGAAAGAAAATGCTGTGCCCCCCCCCCGTCTAGCTAAGCAAAACTATGATTTTTGCAATCCAGTGAAACGTTCAAGTTTTGTATCCTTTGATTCAACTGGCTTGGCGGCTGAAAGGCGGGGCTTCGTTGACCTAGTTAAGGCGAGCACGCGCGCGGGAGAGGCCTTAATGAGGTCACGAAGCCCCGCCTTCCAGCCGCCAAGCCTGTCGAATCAAAGGTCAAACTCTCAATAACCGCGGCATTAACAAACTTCTATTTAAACTTCCTATGTCATGAACTGAAAGCAATCCTACGGAGGTTTTAGCGGCAATCCGAGAGATTTTGTTTAGAAAAGGGTGTTCTACAGATTTTTTTTGAGGAAGAATGCATGATATCAGCCGTGCTCTCCGCAATTTGTTTTCAATCCAGATTTTTGTAAGCTTTTGAACCCAAATTTTACATAAAGGTAATAATCATCGATTGTTTTTGTTTCCTTTTCCTGCTGCATATTGATAGCTCTCGATCATCCAGCTTACCCTAGCCGAGGAAGTGAATATCCTAGAAACAATTTCTGGTGGGGTTTTCACGCCTCCACTCACAACAAAGAGCCATCGCATTAAACCAGATTTTCTTGCTCCTGCTTTTTGTTTTGTATATCTTGGTTTCCTTTCTTGAGCTCTATTTTTCTCTCCTGGATGATAACCAGCTAGCCTATACCGCAGGTTTACTGGCCTCAAAATAGATTCTAATCAACGTAGGATATATTACGAAGTTCAGCAACAAATAAAAAAAATAAAACTTCATGTAGATAGGCAAGATGAGAGAATGTTCCTATAAAGAACCATCAAATCAAATCCAATAAACTTTGTACCAAGCTTACGATACCATCATATATGTGCTTAATTTCTTCTTTTTATTCTACTTATAAATCTTATAAACATGCCACTCCAACTATTTATAGGTAAATGCTACAGCTGCGCATCTACTAACATGAGATCGGTGAGAAATTCCTTTTTTTACCCTGGTATTGTAGATCTAGTTTACCTCTGATATATGTTCATGTAGACTGGTTACTTTCAGAACTTTATAACAAAGGAAAGAGGACCACCGAATCGAAAAGCAGAACCTTTAACGTTTGATAACAACTGTAACGAAGATCCTTGGATTATCAAGGTACGCTCATGTTTATTTGTTTATTTGTTTATTCATTGTACCCCATTACAAACTGCAATGCGCCAGTCTTATCAATGAAAAAGCCGCCTTAAGGTTAAGACAGGAACATAAAATCATCATTGTCTGAGAAAAAAGATTTCAAACATTGACCACACTCAATTTGTAAAGTCCGTGCAATACTAACACAGAATGCTAATGGAATTATGGCATCCAAAATTTACCGCCTTTACTGACTTTAACTATCGCCAAGGTATAGAATGCCAAATGCCCATGCATCCATTATTCGGATATTCTTATAAATAAAATTACATGAAAGGCATTGAATCAAGGGACAAAACTGAAGCTAGACTAAGATGAACGCTAGAGGTAGTTACTCACATTTATCTCATTTTCTGCTCAATAAAATTTCAAGAAAGGTGAGACTAAAACGAATGGGCCAAATCATGTTTGACTCGATTAATTCAGAATAAGCTCCCCTAATGCCGTGTTCCACAAGGCATTACTTTCGCAGTGTGTAACTTACATACACTGCTCTTTATTCAAACAACCTCCAAAGTGAGAATTTGAGACCAAGTCAAGTGGGCCGAACGATTAGTTTTGTTCTTCAAAAAATCTAACACTCTTTCTTTCCTCGAAACCGATACCATAACTCAGCTAATTTTTGTCAAGTATAACCGTCTTTTGGCTTTTCATACCGTAACTGCAACTTTGCATTGGCTTTTGCATTTTGCATCAGAAAAATTATTCCGTCAAATTTCCTCTTCATATAAAGCGAGGTTTGTATGTCATACTAATGTCTAAGAAAACTTTGTGAAAAAAACTTGGCAGTTTGTTCGATTTGTTTTCCTTCACCTGGACGTATTATGCCATACAGAGCTCTGTGTTTGCTGTGGGATGGTGAATCATGTTTTTCTGGCACATAATCCAGCCACATAAGCAAAGCTCCGAGTTTCGTGAGTGAGTCGGCTCTATAGTGTGCGGCGAAAGTATCGTATGTAATAAGTTGGAAAGGAAAGAATGCCGCTCACGTTCGTTCGCTCACTGTCGTTGTCGAAAACATTTTTTACTGCTAAAATTGATATTTCTCAGAAACTGAAGCATGTACAGTCGCTTCATTTCATATGATCATGTGTGTCATTGCACACACAGTTCACCTTTGGCGTCCCCATCCTGGATTTGCAATCGCAGAAACGCAAGAGACTTACCGATTGTTATCGACTGTTACATCAGTTTGAGGTGACTAGTAACTAAAAAGGAAGGAAAATGCTAAGAACACCTTGGAAACACTTACCTGAAGGCTTGTTTTCCCACGAATCCAGAATGGGGACGCCAAAGGTGAACTGTGTGTGCAATGACACACATGATCATATGAAATGAAGCGACTGTACAAGACACCGAATTTTTATGCTAAAGTTTCGAAGGTTCGTAGTACCAACTGATTATATGTGGAGAACTGAGGACTCCTATGGGCGGAGTTTGCCTTTTTTCGTTCATTTATCTTGATTTTTGATAAAGAGAAATGTAGCAAATGTATACAAGTGCATGTGTCTGCTTCATGCAGGAGCAAGCAAGAAAATTCTAGGGTTTTCTTTTTGAATGAGGAAGCGTATTTTGGCGCTATGAATTGTTCATAGATTTCGCTTTCAAACTTTGCTCTAATCGTGATTTTTCGAATGGTTCGAGGTTATCTTGTAGACTTTGTGTTCCATCGAATAGTACGGCATACTCATACTTTTTGGGGTCCTGTTGCTTTACCATGTAATACGACATTCTTCTCTTTACAGCCTAGTATGTCATAAGCAAACGGCCAAACACCAGCTTATATTTTTGTAGAATTATACAGTAATTTTCGGAATTTTTGTGCGCCTGTATACCCTCTGTTTCACTGGAGTTGGCGGCTGGGCGGGGCTTCAATCGATTAAACCACCACGCAAGCGGGGAGAGTAAACTCTGCATCACCCTCGCGTACGTGCTCTCTAATCCACCAAAATCGCGCCCTTCAGCCGCCAACTCAAGTGAAACAGAGGGCACTAAAGCGAGTAAGAAGCACTTGATCTTCCACGAAGCTTTAACAGACAACTAGCTTGCAACCGGCAACCTAAATGGGTAATCCTCTCACTTCTTCTGTAGGATGTTTCGTTCGTTCGTAGAAATCTGCGGACAAAATCATTAGAATTCATGTTTACAGACGTCCCGGGCTGTATCTGAAAAATGAAAGCATAACCCGCTTTTGGAAGTTTCAAATTCCCAAAATTTATCGTAATTTGATGTCTGATTTGATGTCTGTCGTAACTTAATGTTTATGTCTGACGTAGGCTTACCAATCCAGTGAATCTGACAAGGACTTCATCAAATGATTTGACAAGATATAAAATAGAATATAGTTTGTATCCTGTAGGGTTTACGCTTTCCAACCGTTACTGTGAAATTTTGAGAGATCGGTACAAAGATTTAGAATAATGGTAAGACTTGGCCGTAGAAAAACCATATATCGGTATTTTCGGAGATTCCAACAGCTTATTGGTCATGCAGTGCTATCTCAACCATTTGGAAACGAAAGATTGGCATGCAATTAGAATCTTCCGAAATCGCGGTGTGTGGCCTTCATTTGGAAAAAGCAAAATTACTTTGAAACGACCTAATAATATACACAGATTCTTTGCTTTATATATATCAGTGCGGCAACTCTGCCTAGGAGGGGCTTGCGCTGGCCATTATAGAAGGTGTAAGCTGTGTTCAAAATCAGTGTGACTGGGTGGCCGCAAATGAACTTTGAGCAGAAATGAACTTTCTTGATTGAGACTGTTGAATGCTTTGAAATATTGCAAACCATTTCTCATTGATTTTCGTGATAGGCAGACAGAGATGATTAGATTCTTTATTATGCAGTAAGATAAGGTAGTGATAATTTTAGCAACGATCTACGGTAGTATGCGATACAAAATGTTTCAAATGGCAGCAACTGCTCAATAATTCAGGTACTTTATCTGATCCAGGCTTATGACGGTTCACATCACTGTCTTGTTCTCCCACAACAATTTTAGTTCAGGATCATATTCATCGATGACTTTTCGAGGGTGCTATGATAGAATGTTCGATATGATGAATCCATCGACATTAGCGATTCCCGATCACAACTTTTGCACGGCTGGAGAGGTAAAGTAGCCAAAGCAAATGGAGTAACAATATTTTGTTTGACAAAATATTTGACAGCAAAAACCCAAATGGTGAAATTCTCCGTATACGGTTTCTTGATTGTAAAAATTACCAATAGTAAATAGTGATGATCGCTTTTTCAGGCCCAGCTCTCTTGCCTATCTGATGCTTCTGTCATCGAACATTCTTGTTGGTGTGATGGAGACTACTGTAATTCGGTTTCAACACCATCGTATGCATTATCAGCAATAATAGGACTTTTATTAATAAAGGTTTAGTTAGTTACTTCTACAGCTGGACAATCTATGACCCAGAATTCTTGAAAACAGATAGGCTAGCAGAAAGCGAAGGCTGGGTTGTAACGTTTTGTGCCCGCTCGGAAGCCAAACCTGGCCCACAAAATTCCAACCGAACGTTCGGTGATCCAAAAGCAGACCAGAAATCGGTGAACTCAGACTCTCTTAAAGGGCTACAACGGCTTTGGCTTGCATCCTTGAGGAGACGTTTGATTGAAGATTTTCCGTTTACCTGAGGTAATCCCTCTCTTCAATCTCGTAGCTTGGAGAGCGAAAGATTGTCGAAGGATTTTCGAAGCGTCAATTTTTCGAGCGTTATAGAGCTTATAGAGTCATTGTGAGACTCTTTGATCCTTTTCGATGCTAAAGCTCATGAGACCTGAAGCGAGACGAGTAAAGCCAAATGATCATCATTCTGCTTGTTGTCACTACTTTGTTGGAGAAATTCTAAGGCGCACACTGTATATGAAGAATTGTTGACAAAAACATTTTCTTCTACTTTACCCAATTGGACTAAAAATTTCTCAATTGTAAACTAGGGATGCAAGAAAACTGTTAGGGTAGAATATCTCAAAGGCTTGCTTGATAAAGCAGAGACCACGCCGACTTTAGAATGAACACTCCAAAAAGCATTTAAAAGTACCATGTCCAATAACATATTTGCATTTTTGTAAACATGGGATTAGTTTGCGCCATGCGACGGCCAGAGACGTACAGTAGAAGCAGGAGACGAAGCTAAATCAGAACAAAAATCTTTATGTTATTAGACTCCAAATGACTTCAATGGACACTTTATTCAAAAGTGGGACCGTAAAGTGGTAAAAATAATAAAAAACGATAAAAAGTTTCCTAAAAACTGCGGGAATTTCGATACTTGCAAGTTTTTGCTTGCAAGCCAACATTTGCGGATTCTGTGGCTTGCAATGCAAACTTTCCTGTGTTTTTGTAATTCTTAGAACAATTAATTCTTGAGATAGGAATTTCTTTTGAGCTGCTGTTTAGTATGTACCCAAATATGTTTATGGGAACGTACTCGCAAATCTTGCATAGATAACAATTTTACTTCATAAACACAATGTTTCATATATGAATAAATGTCATCTTGTCACAACTCTTTCTATTCAAGGTCATTCTCAGCTTTCTTCAGAACTTGATCCGAGTAAAGTTTTGTTTCCCTTTAACTAACGGCTAGAACTGACAAGGGAGGTCGGATTAGTCGCAGCGGCCTTTCCAAATGAGCCATATACTAGAAGAGCGTTAAACGCTGATTCCGAATCTGTCATCGTTATCTGCCGAGCGCCTCTGGAGTTATCAGCGTTTTTGGGTTGAAAAATTGAATGCGTAATTAGAGCAAAATTCGTCAGAATTGCTCAAATGGTCCAAGGTTGCCTATCAGAGCACTCCATTTTAAAGGAAACTTTGTGTCCAAAACACTCATACTACATGTTGCTTTATTCAGGCGCTGAAAAGTCCGAAACAGTTAATTTTACGTAAATTCTGCGTTCATTTTTCGCCTTAAAAATTAACTCGGCATGCAGAGGCGCTCGGCAGATAATAAAATCAGATTCGGAATCAGCGTTTAACGCTCTTTAAAAAGGTATATGATTCATTCGGTAGGGCCACTTCGACTAATTGGACTTCCCTTGTGAGTCCGTTTTTGCTTTTTGATACAGGCGCGCGCAAATTCTGATATTGAATAGACTGCCGTGTGAGCTACAGACTGACACAAACCGCTCCTTTTTGATGACAAATCAGAAAAATCTGATGAATTATCGACTGGTGAGATTCGAAGATTTGGGTTCATAGTGAAAATATTAGGTTGTAACATAAGTCTTGAGACACTTGCATTTCTTAATAAGTCATACAATTCACATTTTCGATAGCTGCCCAGGACATCCTTCGATAGAGCAAAGCAAGCTCTACAAGATGATATGCAAAGTTCGCACCAATATCGACCCACTATAAGTTTGCATTAAAAATTTGACTCGTACTGAAAGTTCGACAAATCGCGAAAAATTAATATCTTTGTTGAATAAAACCCTACAAATCTCCAATACACAACACATCCTTTGTAAAATTCTAAGCCTTCATCAAGATTGGTATAACGTTTATTAGGCTAACGTTTCGGCCAACTCGCCTTCGTCAGAGCCTGTAATAAGTGAGTAACATATGACAGCTACTCACCCAAACGCCTTGTCATCTTGCGGAAAAAGACAAAAAGTTGTACGAAACGACACCTAGGTCGAACTGCTCACCTTAAACTTGAGGTCGAGACTACCCACCACCGAGTGACATGCAATGACTGAGTGAGTTAGGGTTCCTGACTTGGAGGTAGTAGGTCAAACTCGCATGAGTCAAGGAACGGCGCGAGCTCATTAGTTATGGCAATGCACTCGTCTTTTCTGTTCATCTGCGGATTTCTATTCGAAATCCAGCAGGCCTCTAATGTTTTGCGTGCCGCAACCTGTTTCTCTAGACAGAATTGACACTGAGACGTCGAATTCTGTGTTGTGGTGCTGCCAGCATGCGTGCCTAGGGGTGTTGAGAGCCTTGATTTGCGCAACCCGTCCAAGCGTTCTTTTATTCGCAGGCGCAGTGGTCTTCCCGTTTCTCCTATGTACCCAGCCGCGCATAACTTGCCTGTAATCAGGTACATCACGCCAGAGCACATACAATCCCCAGGCCTGTTGGTGGTGCAGATGATGCAGTCCCTTGTTTCACAGGTTCTGTCGTACGCTCTGTTACGAACCAAACGCTGCCTGAGATTAGAAGGAGGAACTTCGACTATTCGTAACGAGTCCTACAAGCCTGATTTTCGCACGCACGCTCTAATTTCGCTACTAAACCCATCCGATATGAACGGAATGCAGAATGATACCTTATCCTTCTCTTCAGGGGAATTACCAAGCAGCCTGCCACTGCAACGTACTCTTGCGCTCTTACATAGAGAGTATCCACTTGCCTGCGCTATTTGAATAGCCTTTTGAACCGCCGCAGCTTTGAGACAGTCATCCGATGACACTGCTTTGGCCGTTCGCAATATTCTAATAACGCTTTGCTTTGTGCATACTGGATGCGCAGAAGAGTGATGTATGAGTATGTTCTTACTGCATGGTTTTCTGTACCAGCTAGTCTTACACTCCCCTTTGCTCAGATGTAAGTGAACATTTGAAAATTAAAGCCAGCCGTCTTTTGGTTTTTCCCTGGTGAACCTTATGTCAGCTGATTGACTGTTGAGTAGGTCGAAACAGGTATCCATTTCTGCCTGGGTCGAACACAGGATGAGGCAGTCATCGATGTAACGACAATAGAGAGTAGAAGTGCGGCATAAAACTGGATGTTCTGCTTTCGACATGAAGGTAACAGCCAACAGCGGTGCTAAGCGTTGTCCCATGGTAAGCCCCCTGATCTGCCGGTAGTAGTGCCCGGCAGTGGCGTTTCGAGGGGGGGGGAGGCGGGGGGGGGGGCGCCCCCCCCCGACAACGGGTCGCGAAATTTTTGGAAGTTACTTACATGAATTATAAAAATGTGCAAGTGACTTGTTCTCCGAGCCGAAATCCTGGGTACGCCACTGGTGCCCGGACCAATGAAATATTGCGCAGTTGAGACAGCTTTGAGTAGCGTCAAAGTCTGCTGGATTGTGAACCCGTACAAGGTTATACTTGCGGCATTTTTGCTCAACAGCTCAAATACTGCTTGTAGCGCGGCAGAGTTCGACACGTTAGTGTAAAGAGAAGTAACATCAAAGGATTCAACGACTTCGCCTGAAGTGAAATGCTTGTTCCGTAGATGGTCCAGTAGAGCATTTGTACTAGTCAAGTGCGCTGGGACATACTGCAATAACTGTGTGAGGATAAGGTTGAGAAGCCAAGCGATCCTGTCCATAGGACCTCCGACGTTGCTTATGATGGGTCGAACTTTGAAGTTCGATGGGTCTCTAGAAGATAGCAACTCAGGGGAGATCTTATGTGTTTTATGAGGACATAGAGGACAGGACACACTGGTAGATCAGACTTCAAACGTGACACTATGTGCTTAGACAGGCCGGCCGCCCGCGCAGTTTCTACCCATAGTCTGTTGAGTTTTCGATATTGTCTCGTGTACTCTTTTTCCGACGATTCGCAATATGTCGTTGTGTCCTCAAGATGTTGTTTTGTAATCGCCATCTCCATCTCTTTGGGTAGTACTACAAATTCGCCGCCCTTATCGCTGACTGCTATTCTGATGATATTTGAGGTAGCTAAATCCCGAAGTTCTTTGAGACTCCTCTTTTGCGCAGCTGATAAATTGGGCGCCTGGCGCATATGCACGTATCGTTTGAGCACAGTAAAAAACCGATGTTGCGAAAACCTGGAAAGGAGTGTCTACTGAGGGTACTGGCTCTTGCGGCTTGAAGAACATGGACGGGAATGGCACACCAGACAAGGTGGTAGTTATCGATTGATGATTGACTTGCTGCGTTTCCAATCTAGCCCGGTATCGCAGGCGATCTTGTACGTATTGGAGATTATCCACAATTTTGCGTGCGACCGCGGGTCATACTACATCAGGCATTCATATGTAACGTTCCTGGATTTTTTCCACATTTAGAAATCGAGAAAACGAAAACTTGAATGTTCATACAGAGACGGTGCTATGCTGTTTTTACTTAGTAGCTGTATACTACAAGCCCTTAGAAGCATAACCGTAAATTTTCAGCCTTTTACAATCCCTAGATTTCGAGAAACATTGATTCTAGCATGGAACACCCGAGTGAGGAGAGCTAAACTCGGTAATTTTCAAACCAGGGCCCAGTGGCGTACCCAGGATTTCGGCTCGGGGGGGGCGCGGCAAAAAAAATTTTTAAATGAAGGTGCGTGGCGTTAGCCACGCACTCCGAAAAAATTTTAGGGGGGCTTCTCAACAATTCTGCGGGCCCCCAACCCCTAAAATCTGGAAAAAGGGGGCGTGGCGTCAGCCACGCCCCCGAAAAAAAATTTTTCATAGGGCTAATTTGAATTTTTAAAAAATTTTAAAAATTATTTTAATTGTTTACAAAAATAAACAAGTCATTTGCACATTTTTATAACGCATGTAAGTAACTTTCAAAAATTTCGCGACCCGTTCTCGGGGGGGGGGGCGCGCGCCCCCCCCCGCCCCCCCCCCCCCTCGGTACGCCACTGCCAGGGCCTTATGGAAAACTAAAAATCTACAGTCATGCTCCATGCATGCCCTCGATACATAGAGCCATGTACTCTAGTAACATTCACTTTGAGGGCCATGAGGGACACAGCCATCACCGGAAAAAAAATCATCCGGGCAAAGCCCCGGATGTTGTAATCCTGACTATAGTGAGAACGAATGTGAATGAAGCAAAAATAAGGAAGAATATCCTTAGATTACCTCAGCGAAGCCGAGAATTTGCCTTTTTATAGCCTTTTTACGCTAAAATGAAGGTTTCTGTGAAAGTTTTCCCAGAATTTAAGACAGAATTTCTCAGCTAACCTCTTATTTGACAAAAATTGACTTATAGAAATTAGTGAAGTTGTTGGAGTTAAATAAGAAGGAGAAACTGCGCTCAAATCGTGAATTTTAGCAAGCTATATACCATTTTGAAGCTCTTAATCTCTATTTTCACGCTGACAACGTCCCAAAACCACATTTTTTGATTTGGTCCGCAAAAACCGGAAATCCGGCAAAAACCCTGTTCTGGAAAATTTCTTGTTTTTTCCTAGTTTAACTTTCTCTACGCGGTTTTTCGTACATTCTATAGATCTTGCTTCTGTTCATACAGTGTTGGACATAATTATAGGGACACTCTAGAAATCGTCGTAATTTTCGTTCTTGTCAATGAATCTGTCTGAAACTTTGCTGTATTGTGCGCATCTCAACCTACCCTGACCCCTCAAAACGGTTTCCAATCTTGTTGAGTAGTACGGAGAAAGACAGAAAAATTCGAAAAAAGCCTTAATGAAAGCTGGACATAATTATAAGGACACTTGATTTTTTCAAACACTACTGCATCCCCTGGCTCCAAAATTTTTTTAACAGTTATATACCAAGATATGTAACATTTGCAACACTTGCGACCTGTTATCCTTTCCAAAGAGAAATAATTACTGCATTTTTTACTTTCAAAAGCATCAAAAATGAATGTGCTTTAATAAAAAGCTGGTTTGTGGAGTTTTCAAGTTTTTGTTCATTTCAAATAATAATCATGGAATCTACTGACCCTTCTGGATAGATGAGGTGAACAGCGCTTTCGTAAACTCTGCGTAATCGCTGATTTTGACGGACAGACTCCAAGCTTACCATAGGGTTGACGCACTTTTGCACGCACAAAACTCAATTTTCAAGCAACAGAAAATAATGTAATGTAGCCATCATGACAGCCATACAGCAATGAACTCGTGTGCATGACTGGGAAAAAATTTCGAGATTGAGCACTCTGGTTCAGCCGCAGTTGACATCCACTGAATGGTGAGTGGAGCGCCCTGCACAATCAAAGACAACTCAGATCAGGAGATAAAACCGGAGACGCTTGAAACTTCAAAATCTTAGCTAATCTCATTCATCGGGTGAAATATGACACGAAACACAAAGGGAAATAAGGAGATCTAGGGTTATATCGAATCTTCTGCTCGCAGGGAAATTTCGCGGAAAGTATCTTAGGTCAAAATCGCTACCGCATCATTAGGGAAAATCTGAAAGTTGTTGCGAAAGCTGCATCCCCATGTAAGCAATGTAATAAATCAAGTTCAGTACTTTGTGGACATTGCAAACTGAGTTTTGTGGTTTGAAAGCGTTTCAAGGATGTGTTGAGGCTGGAGTCTGTCCGTCAAAATCAGCGATTACGCAGAGTTTACGAAAGCACTGTTCACCTCATCTATCCAGAAGGGTCAGTAGATTCCATGATTATCATTTGAAATGAACAAGAACTTGAAAACTCCACAAACCAGCTTTTTATTGAAGCACATTCACTTTTGATGCTTTTAAAGCAAAAAATGCAGTAATCATTTCTCTTTGAAAAGGATGACAGGTCGCAAATGTTGCAAATGTTACATATCTTGGTATATAACTGTAAAAGAAATTTTAGGGCCAGGGGATGCAGTAGTGTTTGAAAAAATCAAGTGTCCTTATAATTATGTCCAGCTTTCAAAGAGGGCTTTTTCAAATTTTTTCGTTTTTCTCCGTTTAAACTCAACAAGACTGGAAGCCGTTTTGAGAGGTCATGGTAGGTTGACATGCGCACAACATAGCAAAGTTTCAGACAGATTCATTGACAAGAACGAAAATTACGACGATTTCTAGAGTGTCCCTATAATTATGTCCAGCACTGTAGTGCAGACAACCACCCAGCCCTTATCTCTTCGACTATGGCGGAACTTTTTATGAAAAATCGTAAGAAGTGCCTTCACCTTTATCTTGAAAGAACAGAACCAATACAGAAGTTGCCTTCACCTTTATTCTCTTTCAATGTTTTCAAAGCAAAATTTTTCCAGCTTGAGCGATTGTTGCTCAGAATAATAAGTGCAACATTCCAGACAACGTCCCAGGAAACAGGAATGTGAATGCGGGGGTAAAAATTAAGGACGCATCAAAAACTAAATTTGTCTTGGACGTGCATTTCGACTTAAAAAAAAGAAATTTTGCTTTTTTATGACTAGTTTCTTTCTTGCTTAACTTCTTCTTGATAACCACTACTTCCGAAACACAATTTTTTGAAAACAATCACAAGGAAGAAATTAGCTTTTCTCGTTTTTCCCGTGGTGCGAATTTCTGGTTCTGAAGCGAAAATCTGCACCTTGAAAAGCCGCCAAATGAAGGACTTCAAACTCATCGCACTTTTGACGCCCTGTCTCTAGACTAGCAAATGTATGCTCTTAGGGCCATGTGGTACACAATTACATGGGTGAGAACAGCATAGCTGTGTTTTTTATGAACATAAAATTTTCGTTTTCTTGATATTTAAACGGGCGAAAAATCCAGGAACGTTACGTCTGAGTGTCTGATGTAGTGTGCAGTTTTCCTGACCAAGCTGGAGATTCGTCGGATTTTTTTTTGAACAAAGATATGAATTATTCGCGATTTTTGAGCCTTCAGTACTACTCAGATTTTGGATCCGAACTTACAGCGGGTATTTAGCTTAACTGAAAAGAAATGAAATTTGAAATATGAAGAGAACTTGAAATCTAGTGGCTTTCAGATAAGCGCCCTAGTCAGTCTCACCCAAACATGTTAAAATCTATGATTTTTTTTAACGTATACTCCCCGTATCCCTCATTGTAACACACACATCATATAACACATACCTACCGTAGTAGCCTTCTACCGTAACCCTCCGAATTTGGCAGGACTGTAGCTGTGCTTTTACTTACGTTATAGTCTAAATAATAACAAAATTTGAGAGCGTCATTTACAAAGAGAGAAGTCATAAAAGTAGCTGCAAAACTTGGTTAACAACGTAATATTCAAAGTTTGAAAATGGATGGTACGGCCACGGCTCATAGTATCTGATGCTTTTTCTACTTTTGTGTTAACATTACCTGCACAACACAAGAACTTATTTTGATAGCAAAAAAGATGTGTGAGAGTACCTTGATTGAAAGCTATTCGATTTTCCCGAAAAAGTTCTGTAGCGGAGAAGTGCTCTGGATATTGGGTGACATTTCGTGGGTTGGAACTCTGCTGATTAGCCAATCTGACTCATCAACCGCAACAAAAGCACATCATTGCTGCTGCGAAGCATAAATTGTAAATTGTCCTCGGCCGGTGTTCTCCTCTTTCCTTCTCATGTAATAAACTGAGTATTACAGCTAGAATTTTCTAATACAAAATAAACTATAAATTTCTTAACATCCGACATCACTTGTAGGTCGTCGATGCATGCGTGCTTAATTCTACCACTTTTCATAACAGTCGTCGCAGAAGAGTATGAATATTTGCTGGGAACAGATGATCCGCATTTGTACAGTGAGTCTCTTTACGATCTTTCGCCAAATCTCTGCCTTTAGATTGGCTTTCCCATAAGCATCTTTCACATCAAAAAGTTGGTGACACAGAGTTTGTAATTCAAAAGCAAGTTCTCAACTCCATCAACTATCTAATAATATTTCTTCGCATTGTCGGAATAGAGGAAGAAAATTTGATTGGTTACCACCAGATGCACTATCCACAGTGCAAACTCAAGCGTGTTCTGCGTGTCTTAAGATTTTCACTATCGAACAATGAGAAAAGAAGTTGATATACCACTGGTAATATCGCTACCACCTTCCACTTTACACTGCAGCTGGTTAATTAACATGCAGAGCAATGCTAACATAGTGGTAGGTTTGACGACATTGAATCATGATTCATTAGTAACGCTCATTTATTTTCACACGCTTATTCATTTCTATGGGAGTTGTACACACAAATTCTATGGCAAAGCTAATCTCAAAAAAATAATTAAAGCTGTCACAGTCGGGCTTTTATTTGTATGTACCATAAAATGACTAACTTCGAAAATAAACAGTACTTCGTATTGTGACAAATAAAACGCTTTAATCGCTAGAGTTCGCCCAACTTCATGTAGCGCAACAATCGTACATCATACTCTGCTGTCTTCATCTTCTCTTGAGTATGAAGTGATTTAGAATTGCACACGTGCATGCAAACCTCCAGGAAGCTCCAGCGCATGACACACAAATCTTCGATAGACAGCACAACGATTGCTGCTCTCTTTTACTGATTCATTAACCAGCATTCGGTCCTGCCCGGATTAGGTGCCCGTATAGGGAATAGAAAGGGATACATGACAGAAACAAATACAGGGTGTCCCAAAAAATGTATCGAACGTTTGATTGTTAATATCTCCCTTCTGAAGAAGTCTTTTCCCTTGCTTCAGATAGAGCTGGCTTCAACTTAGATTAATAGTATGGAGCGAATCACCCATTTCTCTTCGTTACTGTAGAATTACGGTGGAAACTTCAAAGAGGATTTTGAGCCATGAAAGGCCATATTTTGCCTCAGAAGTGAGAAAAAACAGCCTGAAAACTTCTAAGCTAGACTAATTAGAGCTGCTGATTATAACTGTAAAGTTCCCAACTTATTATGATGCTTCATTGAAGAGTTATGCCAGGTAAGAGGTAGCGGCCATTTTTTCAGTGTTCCTAAAAAGTGCGGTTACACTTTTTGGAAAGCTTCGTAATCTTGTGAATAGTTGAGTATTGAACTCAGCGTCCATAAAAACCCTATTACACAAGTTTACATAATTTTTTGAAAAATTTTGAAACGGCAGCTTTTTCCTTATTGACACCATATGTTTCAAGTTTCTACCGTAATCCTACAGTAATGAAGAGAGTTGGGTGATTCATTCTATAATGCAAATCTAAGTTGAAGCCAGCTCTACAAAACGGTACCTGAAGCAAGGCAAAAGACTTCTTGAGAAGAGAGATATTAACCATCAAACGTTCGATACATTTCTTTGGGACACCCTGTAGGGTTACCTCCTCTTTCAAAAACTATAAGGTCGGTGCCAAAGTTCTGAGTTTTCTGAAGTCCCGCACAGTAAAGATAAACTAATACTTCAGGCTGTGTTTGATGCAGAATTTCTTCCTCTTTCCGGCTACCATATTCAGAATGGAAATCGTTGAGAGTGCTGACTCGCTGGAGATTACAACCCTTTGTTTTCACCATGTCCGACTTTAGCTTATATAATTTTTATTTTTATTTTTTCCAATTTTTGTTCGATACTTTTGGGACAGCTTTGATAAGCAGCAGATAGCGCAAAGCTTTGGCCAACTAAAACAATACTTCTCACTCAACTATCTTTTAAGAATTTCGCTAAATAAATTCTTCAACGTCTTGAGTTTTAAGAAATCGCATAAACTGTTTTTTTACTAAACACTACAGAATGTTGAGAACACCGAGATTTTGACACTCGATTATCACTTTCACTAGCCTCACAAGGTAAGTGAGCAATTCTTGCTTCAAATCATGAGGATTTTGAAACTCTACCTCAGCGCGCCTTTGTAAAACTCAGAAATATCGCGATTTTGCCCCTTTCGCGTTTTCGCCAAAAAAGACAACTTAAAAAGAAGAGGGAAAGCTGCATGGAATAATTGTACTGTCTACCATTTCTTCTACGAGACTAGAGTAGGCCAAATATAAAACTGCCATTTAAAAAACAATAGAAATAAAAGACAATCACATAGCTACAAAAATTGCTTCAAATGGCAAAAGGTTTGCCCTATCTGCTGGTTATCGAAGCTTTTCCCAAACTTAGATCAAATCCTAGAATTCAGCGAAGATTAGACTTGGTCAAAAGGAGGTTTCTGTCTCCAGCGATTATCTCACAAGGGAAGGACCCTCAGTCGAAGTAAGGTTTCCACACGTGATGCATATAATTCTGTTGGGCATGGGGCACTAGTACCAGGTTCGTGTTTCTTAGAAGCTCAACGATCTTCTGGGATAAGTTATGAGCTACGGTTCCCACAATGATCAATGCACTTTATGGGTCTGGGGCGCCAAGGAATGTGTAGGTGTGGACGGATGGGTGGGTGGATAGCTGCAGAGACTATGGCGCAGGTGATGAAGAGTTCGCGTTCCGTCTGGAGCCAGACTTTGCTTTGCAATTGTATTTTATAAATTCGCAGACGATTCTCGAGCAAGCAGACCCCCACTGAAAAGCGTGCGATTTCCACAAATACAATTTGCAGAAAACGCAAAGTTGGCTCCATAGGGAATGCAACTCTTTACCACCTTCACCGCAGTCTCCGCAGCCATCCATCCGTCCACACCTGTTCATTCATGGCGCCACAGACTTATAATGTGCAGTACAGTTGCAGCGGTGGAATTTGTCCAAAACTGCGGGATTGTCGGGATTCGCGGGATTCGCGGGATTCGCGACTTCGCGGGATTTGCGGGATTCGCGGAATTTGCGGGATAAGCGGGATTTAGCCATAACTTCATTTAAAATAGCTTTATTTGTAATCTGAGTGAAGATTTGGCTTCAGCTTAATGAGACGAATCTTTTGATATACGGTATGTCCGTAGTTCATAGTGACGGGGTAGACATACAATGATACCTTGTTGTTTTCTACGTTAAGGCTTTTTTGAACATTTATCACAGTGTAAATCGCGTATAGGAGGTTCTGGTACGAAGCTCTCGTTATCGAAAACTATTGCGAAAAATTGGGCAGTTTTTATCTACCCTTATCGCTGATATAAGCATTTTATCATTTATCACTGATAATAACACATTTTTGGATCATTTTTTGCATATGGTAAGGAAAGTACTGTAGGAAAAGCTGTGTGAATTTCTATCGCTCTTTCTCTCATTATAAGTGATCTACAGGCTTTTCTGGTTCTATTGCTCGGTGCAATTGGTAGATCCCTCGCTGCAGCAATCGATCGATTTTTCATCGGCACATGCCATTGCTGCCAATTCTTACCTAGAATGGCATTTTTGCTTCAACTCGCTTCACGCCGAAGCCTGGGCTGAAATTCTGTACCTATATGGAAGATGAACGTGGAAATCGACCGCATGAATTTAAGCCATTCTTATCAGTCGTTGTCATTGATATCATCATTTTATCATTTATCACTGACGACACAAAATTGGATCATTTTTGATATACAATAAGAAATGTACTTTAGAAAACGCTGTGTGAGTTTTTAGCGCTCTACCTCTTATAGTACAAAGCCACTCACAGAACATGCAAAATTTCCGGGAATTCCGCGAAATTCATGTGAATCACGCAAATTACGCAGGGCCATAACTTTTTTCCGAATGAGTATATTCAAAATCCGAAAACAACGTTGTATTCAGCTCGTCAAGGCAAATCTTTTGATATACGATTGTCTCCAATATCTTGTTTTCAATAATCTTGAATTTGCATGCCGACGCCCCTTCGCATGGGTGTAACGCAACAAGCATCACACGTAGGAGACTGCCATGGGCACCGTTCGATAGTACTCTTTCACTAGATTATCGTGCGCTAAGGGTTGAGCCATACTTCGCGGGGAAGCGGCGTACGCGGCGTACGCAGCGTACGCTCGGTATATTTCATCATAGGAGCATACGCGGCATACGCTGCGTACGTCGCGTACGCCGCGCAGTCTGGCCCAACCCTAAACAGCAGCCGAAGACGCCCTTTCAAAAGAGCTAGAAGAGCTGATAAACTCTGGAAAAATTAAGCTGTTCCAAGTTTTACTAGCCGTAACTTTCTTTAGAATGAACATTTTCGAAATCAGAAAGCAGATTTGTGTTCATCTTGTCAAGTCGAATCTTACTGTATACAACATGTTCTTGAAGTTCCGTTTTCAATTTTTTCAAAATTTTCTGCGCGCGTATATTCACAAGGTCGCAACGCAGCGCACATCAAACATGAAAGACTCTATTAAGCACTGTTGGATTGTGCTGCTTCCGCAGATTATCGAGCGCTAAGAAGCAACCGGAGAATCTTTTTGAGAAAAGATAGAAGAGCTGGTGAATTCTGGAAAATCGTGTTGTCTCAAATTTTGCTCACAGTGACCCTAAAATGAGAAGCTCTACTGCTAAGCAGATGTGGTTTTCGTAATCAGCAGGTAAGATTACCTCTATGAGCAAGTTTTCAAAGAAATTTGGGTGATTCGATTTTTCATCGTTCTACGCCCTGAAGCTCGCCTGGGTTTTGGTCAAAATGTCGATGACCTTGGATTGTAAAGAAACTTCGCCCAAAGAAGTTTTCGAACACACTGTTTACGAAAATAGTGGTCTTTGAAGAAGACAGGGTCTTTTTGTAGAGATATTGTGAGGTGACTGTAACTGAGTCACGAAAGTTCGTAAATTTGCCTGCACTTTTTCGTTTTTTTTTCGCTTTTGTTCATAACTTTCTTATTGCATAAACTAGAAATCCGACGAAATCATGATGTTCAGCTCGTCAAAATGAACCTTCTGATATGCTACACTCCCTTACTAGTCCGTTCTCAATTTGCTCGATTTTTGTGTGAGGATGGGTGTTCGTAGTGGTGTAACTCAGCGAAGAACACACAAGGAAGATTCTAGTAAACATGATCCAGTAGAGCTGTTTCCATAGATTATCATGGGTTAGCGATTAGCGGAGGATCCCTTTTCCACAGGGAAAGATAGGTCGATGAATTTTGAAAAAATCTACGTCTTTAAAATTTAAGCTACCGTAACCATACAGTAAGGCGCTAATTTGCAAAGCAGGTGTGTTTTTCGCGATCAGCAGGCCAAATAACCTCTATGCGCAAGTTTTCCGACGAATTCGGGCCCTTTGACTTTTTTCTCGTTCTGGGCTCTGAAGTTCGCCGACGGGTTTTGGCCAAAATATTGATGATCATGGATTGGTCGGAAACTTCGCCCACAGGGGTTTTTGAACTCGCTGATTACGAAAACAGTGCTATTTGTGCAGTAAGTTTTTTTTAGCAGAGTTATACCGAGTGAGCTGTCTCGAAACCAGGCAAGATCCTACTTTTGTCTGCTCTTTTCGCGTATTTGTTGGACAACTCACCCAGTTGTTTTCATAACTAAACATTAACAGAAGCCGTGCTATTGACCCATGGTTATTGTAGGCCTCCACCTGTAAGAACTGCCCAGTTACGAGTTCACGAAATCACGTTCTCATGAATATTTTCTGAAATTCAAATACTGTATACGTCGATTATCTGCCTTTTACAGTAGAAATTCTTGAGCAGAGTAAACATCATTTGCAAATAGCGTGTTATACATCCAACCAGGACCATATTTGGACAAAGTGGGCGATCTTCAAATGTTGTGCATAATTCATGAGAACATGATTTCGTAAGCTCGTAACTGGGCAGTTCTTACAGATGGAGGCCTACAATAACCATGGCTCAATAGCGCGGCTTCTGTTAATGTTTAGCTATGAAAACAACTGGGTGAGTTGTCCAACAAATACGCGAAAAGAGCAGGCAAAAGTAGGATCTTGCCTGGTTTCGAGACAGCTCACTCGGTATAACTCTGCTAAAAAAACTTACTGCACAAAGAGCACTGTTTTCGTAATCAGCGAGTTCAAAAACCCCTGTGGGCGAAGTTTCCGACCAATCCATGACCATCAATATTTTGGCCAAAACCAGTCGGCGAACTTCAGAGCCCAGAACGAGAAAAAAGTCAGAGGGCCCGAATTCGTCGGAAAACTTGTGCATAGAGGTTATTTGGCTTGCTGATCACGAAAAACACACCTGCTTTGCAAATTAGCGCCTTGCTGTATGGTTACGGTAGCTTAAATTTTAAAGACGTAGATTTTTTTAAAATTCATCGACCTATCTTTCCCTGTGGAAAAGGGATCCTCCGCTAATCGCTAACCCATGATAATCTATGGAAACAGCTCTACTGGATCATGTTTACTAGAATCTTCCTTGTGTGTTCTTCGCTGAGTTACACCACTACGAACACCCATCCTTACACAAAAATCGAGCAAATTGAGAACGGACTAGTAAGGGAGTGTAGTATATCAGAAGGTTCGTTTTGACAAGCTGAACATCATGATTTCGTCGGATTTCTAGTTTATGCAATAAGAAAGTTATGAACAAAAGCGAAAAAAAACGCGGATCGTCAGTTTTTGCGTTTTCTGTCGAATAATTAGTGTGGGTACTGTAGTTTGCGCAACTCGCGTGATTCCGCGGAAATCCCGGAATGTTCAAAATTTCCAGAACGCTGCGGACTTTCGCAAAACCTCCGGAATCACAACAACAAAGAAAATCTGCACATTTTGTGAGCTATTGTAGATAGCAAGAAATAGGGTAGAGCATAAGAGAATTCATAAAAACTTCGGTGCGGAGGCAACGCCCATACACGCATCGTTCACGGGCGTGTGGACTCTGATGAGAAGATGCTCGAGCACGCCGTTTGTGCCGTTTTGCATTTTAGACCGATCGCCTTCGTGGATCTGGATCTGTATGTCCATACGCAGAAAACAGAAGTGTTCGGCCCATCGTTGAAACTCTTGTTGACAGGCGACTCGGTTCATTCACAATTTATAGAGCGGTGGATTTTTCTGAAGAAAGAGCAACGTTTCCAAAGAGACGGTGTCCTGCTCATAGCAGTCAATCAATTGCTGCAGTGAGGGATCTATCTACCGCACCAAATGCGCAATTGAATTGAAAAGGCCTGTAGATCAAATACTATAAGAGGTAGAGCGCTAAAAACTCGCACAGCGTTTTCTAAACTACATTTCTTACTGTATGTCAGAAAAGATCCAATTTTGTGATATCATCAGTGATAAGTGGTAAAACGATGATATCAATGACAACGACAGATAAGAATGGCTTGAATTCATGCGGTCGATTCCCACGTTCATCTTCTATGTAGGTGCAGAGTTTCAGCCCAGGCTTCGGCGTGAAGCGAGTTGAAGCAAAAATGCCATTTTAGGTAAGAATTGGAGCAGTGGCATGTGCCGATGAGAAATCGATCGATTACTGCAGCGAGGGATCTACCAATTGCACCGAGCAGTAGAACTAGAAAAGCATGTAGCTCACTTTTAATTACAGAAAGAGCGATAGAAATTCACTCAGCGTTTCCTACAGCACTTTTCTTACCATACGCCAAAGATGACCCAAAAACGTGATATTATCAGTGATAAATGATAAAATGCTTATATCAGTGATAAGGGTGAATAAAAACTGCCTAATTTTTCGCGATAGTTTTCGATAATGAGAACTTTGTACCAGAACCTGCTATCCGCGATTAACGCTGTGATAAATGTTCACAAAAACCTTAACATAGATAACAACAAGGTATCATTGTATGTCTACCCCGCCACCACGAATTACGGACATACTGTATATCAAAAGATTCGTCTCAACAAGCTGAAGCCGTATCTTCTTGCAGATTTCATATAAAATTGTTTCAAAAGAAGTTATAGCTAAATACCGCTTATCCCGCAAATCCCGCGAATCCCGCAAATCCCGTGAAGTCGCGAATCCCGCGAATCCCGCGAATCCCGACAATCCCGCAGTTTTGGACAAATTCCACCGCTGCAACTGTAGTCATCGTGGGGAACCGTTCCTTATAACTTTTCCCTGAAGATCATTGAGTAGCAAAAGAACACTGATCTGGTATCAGTGCCCCGAGACAGCAGAATGATATGCCTCAGGTGTGGAAACCCCACTTCGACTGAACGTCTTTTTTTCTTGTCAACACCCTCTCAACGACTCCCATTGTGAACAAGGCAGTCGGAGAGAGGACGAAGTGCTGCATCAGATTCAGCCTGAAATGTTTGTTTATCGTTACCGTACGGAATTTGCGGATCTTTCAAAAATTGACAAAACTTCTGCACCAAACCCGACAGATCCCTCGGCTCTGCATAGCTTGCTAGCCTACCTGACCCTTTGCTGCTTTTAAGTCCCTGACTGCGAGGGCTTCTGCAGCAGTATAGCTGCACTGCACACGATTTGGCTTTGAGTTATCGTCTATTCCCCACCGTAAAATAGGCGCCAGAACTGGCTTCAGAAGAGGGAGCAGGCCGTGAATGCCAGGCTACATGGAATGTCCGCCTTGCTAAAGTTTGTTGCCAAAGGTAATATCTATATTGCAGATGATGCGCCTTTGGACTCAAGTTCCGAAGATGGTGAGTAAGTACACTGATAAGGAACTTAGCCCTTGTAACCTTTCTTCATCAACATTCATTTAAGTCTCTCATAGCTTGGCTCCGTGTCCAACTAACTATTTGGATGGAGACGATGGAAAATGTTACAAGGTAGTTATAATAGTGTTTACCCTGGCTAATATAAGCCTTCTGCAGGTGTACACCAACCATTCCAACTACGTCGACGCTTCACATCAGTGCCAGCGTGATGGTGGTAAACTTGTTTCAGTTACGAGTGCGAAGGTAGATTTTAATTCCTTTAGTAAGCGTCAACTTCAAAGACTTGTTGTATTATTTATTGTAGAAAAACGATATGATCGCGAAAATGGCTAAGGATGCAGGTGTTATAGTTTGGCTGGGAATGAAATGTATAAAGCCACATGTAGAATATTGTGCGTGGGACGATTCTTCACGTGCTCCTTATGCGTATACCAGTTTTTTCCGAGGTGAGTGAGCAAGCAAATTCAGGAAACGATGAGCATAATCAACACAAGATACTGCTTGCTCAGTCTCAATCTCAGCTTGTGCTTGCCTTAGTCCAATTATCGTAACTTGTTGTGTTGGAAAACCTTCATAATCTCTGCTAAGTTTTAGCAATTAAGATAGACAACTTCAAAATACGAAATCAGTGCAGTGTAAGAGTTTTGTAGCTCTCATTCAAACGAACCTTAGATTGGTGGCATACACCACTTAAGTGCTCTAAAATAACTATTGAGATTTGAAAGTTATTACCCTGATATTTTTGCACCACTATGCGGTTGAGCCCTACAGTACATTGAGCGGTAAAGAATTATGTTCACAATGATTGATTGACAGCATATATTTCTCGCGCAAGACAATGTTACAACCTACGAGGTAATGCCTAACTTGTGATGAAGTTTGGGAGCTGATGCTCTCAGAAACTAAAGCTTCCTTTTGCTTCATCTTAGGAGGATTGTACACAATGAAGGTTTTGTTATATTAACTTCATAAAAATGTTATCGCTCCTACTAAGTCTCGGTTTACCGTTAAAGCTAATGAGGCAGAAGTAAAGGTGATTTGCCGGCAAAGATTGAGGGAGAGGAATATAACAATAACCAAATGATGTAAACATATGATTAGAGCAATTCCTGAATCGGTACATGTTTTCTGAATGTTGTACGTTTTGTTAACTCATTTATCAAAAACAGCGCGTATTTTCTGAAAAAGGCCATAATTCTATTTTTAGTGATAAAGATCGTGTACAGGAGCTTTCAATCTGAGGCAGGAAACCTTGGCAGCATTGTGGTTTTAAATACTTGTCACAATTCAAAGTGCGCATTGGAAATGTCTTGAAAGGGAATTAGTATGAAAACCTATATTTGAATGTCAATTGACGGAACAGCAGTAGCGGACCGAGAGGGGGGGGGGGGAGAGGGCGAGGGGGGGGGGGGGCGCACTCCCTCCTGAGGATGAGTCACGAAATTTTCAAAATTTGCTGTGGGTTATAAAAATGTGCAAGTGACAGTGACTTGTTTATTTTTGTTAACAATCAAAATAATTTTTAGAATCTTTCAAAAATTAGATTAGCTTTATAAAATTTCCGGTAGCGTCAGCCACGCCTCCCTTTTCCAGATTTTGGGGGTTGGGGACCAGCAAAAATTTCGAGAAACACACCTAAAACTTTTTTCGGACTGTGGGGGTGTTCAAAGACCGAGATATTTTGCTCTACAGCATCAATCATTGACGTTTTAGAAGAAATTTGAAGGCAGTCGCTAAGCATAGATATTCATGGTAGATGGAATGTAATTATGCAATTTATCGACAATATATACAAAAAAATTTATGTCTCTACAAAAATTCTGGATTAAGGCAACCCAAACAGTATCGGTGAATGTGTCTTGATGATGATTGGTGAAATTGCCAATGGAAAGTGGGTCAGCGCCGACTGTGATTACATGAGAATTGGTTTTGTCTGTCAAGTTACTAGAAAAAGTGAGTCGAAGATTGCGATTAATTCTATGATAACATTATACTCCACGCTACAGTATTGGAAACTTTAGAGTATTGTGGCGATTATGATGAATATAAGAAAGGTGGCACATGTTACAAAGCGTTCAATCTCCATCTATCTCAAGAAGAAGCGGAACAGTACTGCCAGCAGGACTGTGGTCATCTCGCCTCTGTACATAATTTTGAAGTACGAGCATTCATAGCTGACTATCTTCATGACTGCAGATAATTTCCAGGAAAATCAATTACTTTATGAAATGGCCAAAAACAATATGAGCTATGCACGCCTTGGCCTGAGAACTGTCAATAACGAATTATCATGGGGAGATAACTCTACCTTTGATTACAATAATTTCGGTAAGCTGTATGCAACTGTGCTCAAAATTCAGTAGGTGCTGAGAACGTAGTAGAGACTTCTTTTCGAAACTTGCCCCATTCCCCAGACTTATCTCAAAAGTGTCACTTTTCCATGTAATGAATTATACCTCCATCCTTTTTCTTTCCATTTGAAAGGAGAACTAGCTTTCATACACAAAGTTTGCAGGTTTTATTCTCATATGTGACAAAAGTGAAAGATTAAACACGCCTCGGCACTAGAGGTTTTGTCTACTAAATTATCAACTGACTTACCGCAACGGCATCGCTAAGTCAGGAATTGTAATTTTCTTCATTAGCTTCGGTTGAGCTCCTGAAACCTCCATTTCCTTTTCATATTTCGAGAACTATCACCTGAAGCGAATCAAACAAGCCCACCAATCTTTCCATTCCTCATACTAGCGCGCACTCCTTAGCATGCGCAAAAAATCAAAAATCATTTGAATTCTTTATCTGTCACAATCTACATGCCGAACCCACTTGCATTACGGAATGGGAGACATTAAAAGCCAATAGCCAAGTTATTATATGCTTTCCAGAGAGGATATGTGCACGATATAGAGCTAACCAATAAGGAGAAAAATTGGAGCGAGATCACTTTATGTAATTAAAAAAGGATCACGTGTACCAAGTATATGTATCGTACATTTTCGGATGTGTCGCAGAACTTGCTGAACTTCGTAAATGGCAGGAGCAATCTAAAAGAAATTTTGCATATAAAAATTTGATTCTGGATTGTTTAACTGAAAATAGAATTAAAAAACTTTACATTAGTCTCGCCTCCGTTTCATTCTGACTCATTTAGGTGTCAACAATACAGCACTTGGCGATTGTGTAGCTATGTCACTGAAAAATGAAGTGATACGTGCTACTCAATGGATAAATGTGCCATGCGATCAAGGGCTGCCATTCATATGTCAGAGAGGTAAGTAAATATATAATCTGCCGAAAAAGGCAACCGCTTTCACCTTCTAATCTTGAATCTGTGCTAAATCAAAAGATCTTCCCTAACACAATATTTGCTAAGTTGATAACAATGGTTTCAGCATTTTTAGACAATAGCGGCAATATACACTTATTGGCGCAAAATTCGTCAGAGTTACTATCGTAATCCTACAATAAGAATTTGTAACTTGGTTCATATAGTAAATCAAGTTGAAGCCAGCCATACAATCGAAAGTACAATCATAAGCGAAAAGCTGCTCAAATAAGAGGATTATTGGAGATCAAACGTTTGATACATTATTGGACACTATATTCAAATGACGTTACCTTTTAGCTCGAGGAGCATGTTACAATACTACCTCCACCCTTCCCTCTTCAACAATGGCACCTACCACTTGTGACGAGCCTCAGTACTTTAGCCAAAATGGCACCGTTCGTCACTTTGTCTATTGTAGATTCGTAATGTTCAAAGACTGATTGCAGATCTATTCACCTGGTTTCCCTGGCTTGTACTATGGGTTCAAATCCTGCTACTATATTATGACAGTGCCTTCTGATCGAAACGTGCGAATACATTTTCCATATCTCAACCTTCACCCGGACAGCTGCATTAAGCTCTATAACTCTGTTATCGATTCGCTCCCCTCTGATTCGTAAGTTTTGTGAGCTGAATTACTGTTTCGCTCTCAAAATTCTAAACTGGGAAAGATTCAGAGTGTCATTTCTGACCCCACCGACGAAATACTTCCAGTCGTCCACAAATGTGATGAAGATGGTCTTTGTGCCACCACCGAATGCGCAAGAACAGTGGTACAACGTTGATTATTCGAGCGCGTGGAAAGCGGAGTTTTCATAAAACGTAATTAATTTACTCTAATCTTTGTAATCACCACTCTGCCAATTTCCCAAGCATTCGTCTCTGCATCCTAATAGGTGATGGACTCAACAGGAGAATATTTACCAGGTTGTAAGCCATACTACATTGTTTATTTTCAGGCGTCATGCAACGCACGTTTGCAAAGCTACGCACTGAAGCACAGTAGACCGTCACTGTATATTTCGATAGCTTACTAAAGGTATAAAGCGATGGTATTTACAGTAATTTTGCGAGTACAAGACGCACCTTCTTTTTCTGAACTCAGTCAGCCTAAACACATCAAATAATTTTGCGTTCAAAAGGCCTCTTGTGCTGCTCCTCACCTAGAACAACTTTGTGGATGAGAGACCGTTTCGCGAGTCACAGCGGTGCGGCCGAGCTACTTGCTCAAAAATGAAAGAGGTACGTCTTGTACTAGCGAAATTAGGGTTACTTCTTGCATAGCATAGTTTGAGTATTTGCACAAGACGTCGCGGAGCGTTTGTTTTTCCAACTGTTAATTCGAGGAAAGTTTTGTTCGTACTTTTTTGAGAGGTACACACAGGTTTTCGCAACAGTTGCTAGATATATAAGCAAGCAGAGACCTGTGGTGCTGCACGCGGTGTGCAAACTCATATATTAAGCTATGAATGTGAATGACTTGACATGCTTGTGTTGGTAATGTGTTAAGCAGCGAATAAATTAGTTTTATTTTTTTATCAAAAGCACATGAGATGTTTTACATCTTTATATGGTTCTATTTATAGACTTTGCTTTTTACCGGCTGCTTCGTAATATAGCGTTTCGCTGAAGGGTTGGGTGTCCTCTGAATGAGGGAAAACAACATGTAATGAAGTGCATAAATTACCGCGCTAGGATAATCAAAGGTCATATGCCAACTTGATGAAGCTGTTTTGAACTAAATTCAATCCTCAACATGCTCACGTACTTATCAAAAAAATAAATGAAGACTTAAATGGCTCTAAGTTTTCAAAAGATGATTATTCTAGCAGTTCACAGTCCTCCAAGAAGATAAAGAATAGTCATAGTTGACGTTAGGTCTATGCAAAAACGTGCAGGCGGTCTATATACAGGGTGTCCGAAAAAATGTATCGAACATTTGATCGTTAATATCTCTCTTCCCAAGAAGTCTTTTGCCTTGCCTCAGGTACCGTTTTGTAGAGCTGGCTTCAACTTAGATTTGCAGTATAGAGCGAATCACCGATTTCTCTTAATTACTGTAGGATTACGGTAGGAATTTTCGACTAATTTCAAGCTTCTGATAGGCGGGAACTGCTTTCCAAAAAATTCCAAAAAAAAACCGAAGAACGTTAAACTGAGGTTTTTTGAAGGTGCTGTATCTAATCACAAAGATTTCCACTTCCGTACTCCTCATTTTCCTACGATGTGCGCACTATATATAACGCTAATTTTTTGGCTTTTTGTAACGTGTTCGTAATTGCAACGTTGATTTAGTAAATTTTGGAAAAAAATTCAAAAATTTAGCGTTACAGCACGCACGAAGGAAGATGGGGAGTACGCTAGTGGAAAACTTTGTAATTAGATTCAGCACCCCCAAAAACCTCAGTTTAACGTCCTTCGTTTTTTTGGAATTTTTTTAGAAGCAGTTCTCGCCTTTGAGAAGCTTAAAATTAGTCGAAAATTCCTATCGTAATCCTCAGTAATCAAGAGAAATCGCTCTATACTGTAAATCTAAGTTGAACCCAGCTCTACCACACTCAAAGATCCGCGAAAACTTCCCATATAGGGAAGTTATTCAAGATCAAACGTTCGATACATTTTTTTGGGGCACTCTGTATTGTGAAGACTTATGTTTGATTACGAGTGTGATGTTAGCGTTAGAAAAAACAAGAAGACACAAATCTCAGCCTGGATTCCTCTCCTAACGTACACAGAATGGAAGTAAGCTAAAGTTTTGTAAAAGTCAGGCTTCACAGAACTCTGTAGAGATTTTACAGATAAACCAGAAAGTTGACTAATGCGAAGCCGATACGATTTGCTTAGACAGCATCGTACTTTTTATACTTGATCACATGTAATCTCAAAAAGACGACTAGATTAAAATGGTCGGCTCTCTTTGCATTTGACACTTGGATGGTTTTGCAAGGTTGAGTTACTCAAGTGCGCATGGTCAAAAGTGGCATGACGATGCTCATAACTCGTTAAAGTTGCTATCTGTAAAAATTATAGTATCTAAACTTCTGAAGCACTTTGGACAGAGATGAACAAAAGGATGCTCAGCTGTACGACACTTACACACTAAAATCTTATTAATCATTTATTCTTCTATCGCACAAAGCCTGCCACATTCAGAGAATCAATGGAAACACCTACAGGGGAGGCATGTAAGTCGAAGTGGCCTTTCCATATATATGCATACGGTATGAAATAGCATAAAACGCTGATTATACTTGCCTTCTTTATCTGCGGAACGTTTGTGGAATAAGTGTTAGAGCATTTAATGGAATATTAAAAATGCATCTAAGATAAAATAAGTTGCTAAAATCTTACTAGCCCTCAGATAAAGCAACCAGGTGTATTATATTTCATCTTAGAGTATTCAAATGAAGTGCTCTGACAGCTCACTGCTCCCATCAAGGCGCTAAAACAATATCACGACTTTTGTCCTACTTGCAATTGGATTTTGGGCTCGAATAAACGCTCATAACCCTCGTGAATGTTCCCGCAGAACAGGAAGGCAAATTTGGAATCAGCGTCTTATGCCCTCCGATAAGGTATACATCCAATCCAAGGCCACCGATCAAAGTTGCTGCAGATTGCACAGTGCAAAAATTGAACAAGCTCACCAAGCTATTCCCAACGAAGGAAGTGGTGAACCGGACCCAAACTAACGTGTGGACTAAGTACAAGTTTACTAAAACTCCACGTCAGACGGCGACGCCGTGAAAAGAGTTTCAGTGAAGTCTGGTCATTTATGAAAAGAGCTAGCAGAAAGCGTATCACTTTACATTCTCTCAATAAACATAGAGTAAACATCTAAACGATGAAGGATAATGAAGCACATGAATAGGAGAAAGAATACAGTTAAAGAAGCCAGCAAACGAGGAAACGAGAGAGCCATAAATGGTGTAAAAAGTGAAAAACATCCATCAAAAGCAGTTAAGCGGATCCTAAAAAGTAACAATGAACGAATGTATAGAATTTAAACAAAGCCCGATCCTTTATCCTTTAGTACAAGCCTCAGCAAAGAAATACGCAAATCTGAAAAAAAAAGACAGCTGCAGGAGGTTTAAAGTGCCACACACAGCGGCCATTACACAAGGTAAGAGATACCTAGCAAATCAAATTTTTAGTCATCTTCTGAGGACAGGACTATTTGATGCATTGGTGGTTCAGGCAGAGAGCCGTGTAAGCCAATTAGCGGCCCTGTAGATCTTATATATAAAGCTGAATGTCTGTATGTATGTATGTATGTATGTATGTCTGTATGTCTGTCTGTACGTATGTTCCGAATAGAAAATTCCATTTCTGAACCGATCCGGACCAAACTTGGCACACATACACTACGGGCCCCGGCGGGTGTCATAGGCTACTTTTCGTCATCGATCGATATCGATTTTATCGATTTTTATCGATTTTTTTGCTGAGTTCACCTACGGGGCTGGGAGTTGGCACAGGGGGGTAATCGAGCATGGGGATTCCGAATACAATATTGGTTTTCGGGATTATCGATTACTTTTATCGATTTTATCGATTTTTTTGCAAAGTTTGAGCTAGGGGGCTGGGAGTTGGCACAGGGGGGTAATCGAGCATGCTGATCATCCCCAAGAGGGGTGATCAGCATGCTCGATTACACCCCTGTGCCAAATTCCAGCCCCCTAGCTCAAATTTTCAAAAAATCGATAAAATCGATAAAAGTAATGGACGATCTTGAAAACTAATATTGTATTCGTAATCTGCATGCTCGATTACCCCCTGTGCAAACTCCCGCCCCGCAGGTCAAACTTTACAAAAAAATCGATAAAATCGATAAAAGTAATCGACGATCCTGAAAACTAATATTGTGTTCGTAATCAGCATGCTCGATTACCCCCCTGTGCAAAATCCCAGCCTCGCATGTCAAAATTTACAAAAAATCGATAAAATCAATAAAAGTAATCGATAATTCTGAAAACTAATATTGTATTCGGAATCCCCATGCTCACTTCCCCCCCTGTGCCAACTCCTAGCCCTGTAGGTGAACTCTGCAAAAAAATCGATAAAAATCGGTAAATTCGACATCGATCGATAACGAAAAGTGGACTGTGACACCCGCCGGGGCCCGAAGTGTATGTGTGCCAAGTTTGGTCCGGATACGGCGGAGCCGGGTAAGCCAGCTAGTTACTTATAAACCAGTTTAAAAAGTTACTGCGTCGGAGTCTGGAATAAAGCAAGTTGAATTATTCAGATCTCTTCTTATTGCAAAAATCAATAGTTGCTAGCTTTCAGCTTCTTCTCTTCTCTGAGAATGTGGAAGCAAAACGCAAGGTCCAGGAGTACAGGGATGTTCTGAGTCTTCATAAAACTTAGCGAGGCGGGTGGGCATCGTCATTAGGGAGACAAGTTTTAGACAATGCGCGCCTTCTAAGAAAACTTGTGAATTGTTGCACCTTTTCAGTTTCTTCAATGTCTTTTTCGGAATGGCGACCGTACTGTTAGCAGTACTCCAAATGTGGAATCACAAACGCCTTGTAGAGTGAATCAAAATATTAGGGTGATCACTAAAAATGGGACACCTAGAGAATAAATGTAGATTTCTCAAAAAAGAAAAATGTCACGCACTAACCGGGTTCGTTAGTGCGAGGGCGGATGTCCAGGTGGGGAACGAGAGAGTAATAGAAAAATTTATTAGAAGACTAGAAATAGTGGCAGACAATACAATGACTAAAACAACGGCCGGGCGGCCTTATTTATAGCCGCCACGGTACAAAGTACATGGTCAAGATCAAATTCAATAATCATTGCTTATAGGTGCCACCGCGTCCATCCTTGACATGCCCCTCCGTCGGTAAGAGTCGTCCCGACTCTTGACTTGTGCATAGTGAGGATTGACAACTCTAGCGTCTTGACCCTTGGAGACCAGGAAACTGACGACAGGTCTTCTCCCACCTCCATAGAAGGAGTGCTGTTGCACCATTGATGGCCGATTTCCACCTTGGCTACCCGCATCGTGGCAATCATCTACCAAATCAAGAGGCTGTCCTTGCATCCACCTACAACTATACCTGAAAATAGAATTAAGGGGTCTAAGGCCCCGGGCAGACTTCACGCGATTTGATCGTCGCGACTGAATCGCGACGAGACAACTGTTACAACATCATTCCATGTCGATCAACTTGCATTCAGTTGTGATACTTTTCCAGCTCGAAATTTTTGAATGTGAAATGAAAATGAATGGAAATCTTGGCGATTTGGTCGCGACGATTAAGTCGCGTGAAGTCTGACCGGGGCCTAATGCGATATTTGTGGCTCTTATTACGTGATTCAGCACCAGACTCGGTTGTCTTCACGTCATTTCTTAAGCTAGAGCATTGTGAATTTCGATTTAGTCGGTTCCTGGCGGCTTTTGACAACCTGCCTCTCTTGGCTCTCCTGAGCTGTCGCTCTAGGGACCTCACAGGATTGCAGGTCCTCGTGTTCTCCCCTGCCACGGTGAGCTTGGCTCCTGCCAAGTTAACGTCGTGCTGAAAGCGACCGCTCCTGCTCTTTGTACTCGAGGCTACTTTACAGTTCTCGACCTCTTCCCGTACTCCTTTACGATTAGGAGACATCTCGGTTAGCGTTGCAGTCTCGAGCTGTTGTTTCCGCTTTCTCCGTTTTTTTGGAACACCGACTTGGACGAATTTTTCGACAACTGTCCTTCTTGTGCCACTATGAGTGTTTCTCAAATCAGCGATAGATGGCCCAAGTTGCGGTAGCGCATTTGTTCCGAGCACAACTCTGCCATCTCCTTCTCTGTAACGAAGAAGGCTACTCTGTGCTTGGTGTCATCGACTTGCAAAGTGAGCTTCACCGCTCCCTTGAACTTTATCCGTTTCCCGGAGGCATCGTATGCGGAAGGTAACTGCTGGATCGGGATTTCTTCAACGTCCGCGTTCAGATCAGATCCCTTTTTCATGCTCATCATTAGCAATCTCAGGGGGATAAAGCTGATTGAGAGCCTGTATCTACCATAGCTCTTCGAAACAATCCCAGCAAACGTACATTTAGCACCATTTGCTTCCCAAACAGCTGATTCTTCCTCGATCGTGTCCTTGCCGAGCTGCAAATCCATCGATCCAAAGATGCCGTAAAGTTACTTGGGCACTGCTCAAGTTTCTTTGCTGACGCTGAGGTTTTCCTTTCTCCACACTCGCGACTATAATGTCCTGGTTTGTTACAGTTGTAACAGCGTGGCCACCTTTTGCAAGATGCTTCCAAAGTATCTTGCAAAACACAATTTTTTTCCACCACTGGAGTCTGGCTCTCGCTAACGGATGTATCGGCATATGCATTTAGCACGACTTGTTCCGTACTTTGTTGCACCGCCACAGCCATCTCCCTGCTACGTTCGCAGCGCAGCGCCATAGCTTTCACCAGCTCATACGCGCATTCCCTCGGCGCTGTCTCTACGGTGGTGAACATCTGGAAGTATTCAGGCCAGTCCCTCAACTGCAAAACCAATTCTGCAGCTCTTATCCATGAGAGCTGCTTGTCTGTGGTGTCTGGGTACGCTAACCGCGTAAGCCTCTCTAACTCAAGACAGAAGGCTGTAATGTCCTTTGTCATCCGCAGATGTTTGAGTTGTACATACGCAATTATTTGATCAGCAGACTCATTTATGCTCCATGTGTTTCGCAGTGCTTCTACAATTTCTTCGAACGTACTCTCCCGCATCCTTGCTGATAGTGTTTCGGCTACTGCCTTAGGATATCCGTCCAGTTTAGACAGAAAAAGATGTACTAGCATGTCGTCAAGTCCGCAATATCTGCCTGTGCGACCTCACCCTCGGTCGACGGGATTGTATGCGGAACCCTTTTCTGACACTCCGGCATTTTCTGCATGGTGTCCATCGGCTTCTTCGATGAAAACAATTCAAGCTCGGTATCTGTACAAAATAGAGCTTTATTCAAATCCAATGTTCTGTGCTTCACTTGCAGCACAAATTCAATTTCGACGATGTATCAGCTCACGGTACACACGCGTATACCCCTCCTCCCTCTAGGCTGGGTCTTGCGGTGTAGCTGATACAAGCCACAAAGTATACCCCTTGACCAAGAGGGACCTGTCAGTATACGGCACACGCGCCGCTGCTCCTTTGTAGAGGTAGACTACGGCGGTGTAACTGACACCCTCCTCCGGTCCTCTGAGAAGGCTCGATGTGCGGTGTGCCACACAACGAGCTCCTCTTTGAATCGGGGATATACACTGCCTCTGATATAGGCAGCATACTCGCCTCTTCCGCTTACGCGGTCTTATCGGCGGGGTTGGGTTGCTTCGGTTCGGCCCCCATGTCACGCACTAACCGGGTTCCTTAGTGCGAGGGCGGATGTCCAGGTGGGGAACGAGAGAGTAATAGAAAAATTTATTAGAAGACTAGAAATAGTGGTAGACAATACAATGACTAAAACAATGGCCGGGCGGCCTTATTTATAGCCGCCACGGTACAAAGTACATGGTCAAGATCAAATTCAATAATCATTGCTTATAGGTGCCACCGCGCCCATCCTTGACAAAAATGATTAAACTTCCCAACTTTGATAGATGTTAGAATAGATTATTCTCTTTTGGAAAATACCTATATAAGGTCATTTACATAACTAATAATTTTTATAGTGGCTGAAATGCAAAGTTAGTCACTTTGACAAATTATGAACTTTGAGCAGTACCTGCGCATTGAAACATGTGAGACCACCCAAAATACCACTGCTGGAGTGGGTAGTGGGACAGTCACCAAACCCACGACGGCTTGATGGCCTCAACTTCCAAAGTCAGGAGATATGGCCATTAGCAGCTTCGAGAACGAAGATTCGCGTTATTCAATTCCTTCCAGGTGAATGCATGTTTTATAGGTACCATCTGAAAGAGCTTTTTACGCTGTATCCATCCATATGCAGTTTACCTCACATTTTATCTATCTTCGGGAAATACACATTGAAACTTGATTTACTGGTTTTTGTTGCGTCAAAAAATCGCGATTTTCCAGGTATTTCGCTTTTTTTACCCAGAAATAGAAAGAAATTCTGTATGTTTCATATACTGTTTGAAAGAGCATGAACAGCTATTTCGAATAATATATCAATTGCTCTATAACTTTGCGGTATGGCAGCGCAAGAATGAGCGAGGTTCAAAAAACCCTGTTCGAGTTCTTCAGGGCGCCACGCGTAGGGTTGTGGGAGAGGAGCGCTGACGTTTTGCCAGAATAATAGGCGAAGGTCGCTTATATAAGCGACGTTTACGTTGCAGCCTGCTCGTTGTTGATCAAAACAAAAAATCTCAAAATTTGACAAAAATCAAGCTGCCCCATTTTTTAGTGATCACCCTAATATTTACTGAGGTTGTGCTTGAGTTAAGGAATAGTAAGAAAAGGGGAATAGTAAGCTTTGGGAATTGCCATATTAATAAGTCTCAAAATGAGAGAGCTTTTATCAAGACACTAAGGCACTAAGACATCCTCCATAATAGTCACATCATACATCTTTAAATTGGGCTTGTTGAAACAATAGGATGTCGCAGGCATTCTTCCGAGACGAGGGACAGGAATTGTAGTTGTAATAATCTTATACATTTCCTCATTAAGATAGTAAAGTACGCTTTGGCGCGTTCTTTTCATAGGCTCGTAAATGTGCGCTACCATCAGCAGCTATCATGCTATTATTTCAACTCTCTCAGTAAAATCCCTAGCGTGCTCTTATAAACTAAGCAGTGCTTCTCATTCTTTTGTTTTCCCAACATGATTGTTTGATTATTGCATCAAAGTCAGTCGAACCTTATAGCTATGACTCTAATGTGGTCACTTGTAACTTCAGTATCTTTTCATTTTGCAACATTCAAACCAATAACGTTCCAAAAATACAGGAAGATAATAGCTTGGAAAATGTTTTGAAAAAAAGCAAAGGAGATGTTTGCGCGATTCGTTGCATCAGACTCAGCTCTAAACAGAAAAGCGTCTTTTGTTCAAAGAAAATCAAAATTACAATTGCTATCATCATTTTGAATATGCTTTTCGAATCAGAAACCTGACCTTACGAATATGTGGAGACATCTAAAAGGAGGTGAAATTTTGTTTCAAGAAGATTGGTTTTCAAATGTCCAGTTGGACTCCAAACAGATTTATTTCATGGCACTTTTGCAGCAGATCTGGTCACAAATCATGTATGTCTGCACTATGCTCTGCAATCGCCTCATCTCTGACTCATCAGCCACAGCAAAAGCTCAACATCGCCTCTACAAAGCACAAATCTCGAAGCGATCTTGGTCGACATTACATTCCTTTGCTCCTTGTACATAGGCTATGTCTTCAACAGGTTAATTTCACAAATATTGCTCCCGGAAGTAAATGACATCTTCAGAATCAATGAAAAACTTCATCTTACCGCTCTTCGTGATAGTGGTCTGCCAAGAGTACCCGTACATACCACAGACCGGTAATCGATCTCTTTACAGCATGCTTCATTGTTTTCTATAGATAAGGAAAGCGACTGATATTTTTTTGAAGTTTAGCAGAGAGTTGGTTAAGCAAACATTTTATTTCGAGTTAAGTGTTCTTAGCTCTATCATCAGTAAGCGTGGCTGAAAAGGGGGCGCTAAAAAACGACAAGCCCTCTTCAGCAAATACTTTCAAATAAAGCTTACGTTACGCCGAGGATGATCACCATAATTCAGAACGTATTAGCTGAAATATTTTTGTATTTAAACAGTTTTTTAGACGTGATCAAAAAAACTGGGCGTGAAATGCAGTCCTATTAATCTGTGTCGTTTTAGTTCTTTACAGCTTATACATATTAGGTCGTTCCGAAAGTAATGTCGCTTTTTTCAGACGTACGCCACACCTCGTGGAACAAAGATGTGCAAGAGATGGTAGCATTTGATGCAGAATTTCATTCTCTTTCTAATGCTTATATAAACGCTGCACAAAATTTAATAACTTCTCGAAAAATTATCAAAATCTGCGATCCATGCTTTTTGAGAAAGCCAAGTTTCACAGTTTTTCAAGATTTTCGTAACAACTCTTGGGAGGAGATGGATAGAGAGCACCTTACAGGAAACAGCACAATATTTTTCTACTTCGCACAGCTCGCTGTGATTTTTGTATAGATTTTTTGATGGAACCACCGAATTTTAGCAGGCTCGTCTCAGACACAAATGCATCAAACACCAACAAGTCTTCGAATTTGGAACTTACAAAGATGGATTATGGTTCAGTAATTTTACAAAGCAAATGAGCGTTTAGCGCTTCAGATTAGCAACTTTCGAAAATTCTGGGTACAGCCTGGGGCGCCTTAGAAAACCTAATTTATGATGGTTTTACTCCGAAAACTTGATGAATCGGAAACAAAAAATAAGTGGTAGAAAGAGGAGAAGAAGCTGCGTCGAATGACACCCGAGTTGCTTGCCGGTTGTTGATCTGAGAGGTTTTAGTTGACCAAATGTGGAAATTGACAGCATTAGAAAATTGGTTTTAGAAGTTCGAGGAGGCGAGCTAAGGAAAAGAAAAAAGTTGCGTCGTATCCCATAGGGTTAGCTCTACCTATCTGTCACTTGCATCTCTTCGGAGAATAGGTACAAAAATTTAAAAAAATAGCCGAACTTGACCATGGCAAAAAACATGAGTCGAAGATTTTGGTAAATTTGCGGGAGCGCATTATATATTATGCAATCAAATTATAACCATTAGAAAGAGGAAGAAATGCTGCATCGAATGCTTTAAGACCTCTTAATAATCTTGCTTCCACGAGTTGTAGCGTTTACTGGAAAAAAGCGACATTACTTTCGGAACGACCTAATAAAAATTGTGCTAGTAATTTTCTATGGCTCTACAATCATCCTAGATATCTGCCAGCGAAGCCAAATGGCTCTGTAAGAGCTAATATATATAATGTTATATATATATATATATTTCTTGTGGTATTCTTGATGATATTAAATTGATGTACTTGCTCTTCCTATAAAAAACGCGATTTCATTCGCTTTGATTGGATGAAAAAGGTAGCGCTTTTAGTTGTGTCGTTTCTTACAATGTCAAATTAGATGATCGATATTTAACTTATTACTGAAACTACACTTGGTAATGCTCAAGTCATCGGGTGAATCGTACCTCACCTGCATGGGCAGTTGCAGCAATTCGGGAGAATTCTCTGAGGAGGTGTTCTCGAAACTATTGCAGTTTGAATATGAAAAAAATCTCAGCGAATGCAGGCCGTTACCTAGCATACCCCTTAAAACTGAATTGGGGGGTGGAAGGGGCTTCGAGGGTTAGAGAATGATAGGAGAGCACGCTCGCGAGAGAGACGCAGGCTGCATCGCGGATGCGAGCGTTTGCCTTACAGCCGCCAATCCTGTTGAAGCAAACGTTAGTTTTCATTGACAAAACTTTTTCGGGAAGAGGTTTTACATGATAAAGGACTTTGGAATTGGATCTCACAGCGAATCGAAGGTTGCAGCTAATTTAAGCACGATATAGTTGTCTTGCTAGTTGTAAGCAACAAGGGCATAATGTGTGTAACACCTTTTGTCACAGGCAAAGGTACATTAGACAATTAGAACACCGAAAATGGTGAGTGGCAACGATGTGAGGAAATTTTATTCATATAGGCATTTCGCATTTTCTACAGAAATACACTCATATGAGATATTTTAGATGATGAAAGCTTAGCTCCTTGTCCAAGCGACTACACTGATGGAGACGACGGACAATGTTATAAGGTTATTATAGACTATGTATAAATTGCCATTCATCACATTATGATTTAGTTGTACACTAACAATTCCAACTATGCGGACGCCTCAGATCGATGTCAGCAAGAAGGTAGCAATCTCGTGTCAATTTACGACAAGCAGGTCGTTTTGTTGGTGACAAATATTGCGCATTGAAAAAAGTGTTTCAGAAGAATAGTTTTATCGTGCAAATGGCCAAAAGCGCAGGTCTCATAATCTGGATAGGGCTGAAGTGTATCAACCCATATGGCGGCTACCCTTGTGTATGGGAGGGCGACCTTCAGCAAAATTTACCTCGCTACACTAACTTTTTTGAAGGTAATTTTGGCTATAAATTTATGTATTATATATCAACGAGCAATGTTGCTTCATCTCTATATTTTGACAAAATCAAACCTTTCTGTAACTCCGTGCTTAGTAAGGTCTTGGTCGAAGGTAAAAAAAACATGCAAAAGACCGAATAAGCTAATAATGCTGCAAACGATTAAGGAAATCCAAACAGTATCGGTGAATGCGTTCTATTGATGATTGGTGGAGAAGCTGATGGGAAATGGGTTAGTGCTAATTGCGAATACATGAGGATCGGATTCATCTGCCAAGTAGCTAGAAAAAGTGATTTTTTGAGCTGGCTCATATGAAATAACTCAAACTCCAGTAATGGAAATTCAGAGCTCTGCGGCGACTACACTGAGTACAAAGAAGGTCGTAAATGCTACAAGCACATCAGTCGCAATTTAACACTAGAAGAAGCGGAACAGCATTGTCAGTTGGACTGTGGGCATCTTGCCTCCATACATAACATCGAGGTGACATGTAATGAAAGGTCCTTTCAGGCTATACTAAAACACTTTTTTAGGAAAATAGCTTCGTCTATAATATGCTTAAAGACCATGAACTCGCATACGCATATGCATACGCATATCTGGGCCTGACAGTTGCAAATGACGAGTTTTCATGGATGGACAATACGACTTTTGATTACGATAACTTTGGTGACTGCATGGAATGTTCATCAAAAACGGGGACTTTTTTGATGTGCAGGGTTAAGGGTTTATGAACAGAGAAATATTCAAAAGGAGTCAAAATAGGCGAAGGTTGCTGAGGAAGGGCAAAAAGGGTTGAAGCATAGTGATCAAGTGTCTCGTATGAAGTAACAAATCAAGAAATCTACAAAAACGAGGCTGCATGCAGACACATTCAGAGGAGGTTCCTCTTCTAACTGTAGCTAGAACTTTTCCAAAGTTCAAATCCGTTTAGTGCACCACAAAGATCAGAAACTGTACATTATTTTAGTAAAAAAACATGAAGCTTCTTATAGCAAGGCTTTATTCAATAGAAATCTGCGTTATTGTGCTTTTACTTTCACCATTCTTCTTTACGGCAAAAGGCAATGTTAGTTTATTTTCCTGCTAACAACAAGCAACATACGAGGAAGCGATAAAAACCGCACCTGCATTTCCAAGTAAAGAATCTCCATTATTAGGTTGGCATACAAGTAATGCACTTTTTGTATAACTTCGGTCTTTTCGAACGTAGCGCATTCATTTTCTGGCAATATAAGGACTATGATATAGACTGCAAATTCGAACATTTTTCCGGGTTTTGTCATCTTATGTATTATGATGTAAACTGCAAATTCGAACATTTTTCCGGGTTTTGTCATCTTATGTATTATGATGTAAACTGCAAATTCGAACATTCCGGGTTTTGCCATCTTATGTAAAGGTTACAGTAGGTTTATGGTACAATGGGAAAAATTTTTAGATTGCGTCAGATTTTGCTGAAATTTGGCTTATGGGGGTTTTTGACATGCTGATTACAAAAATGAGACCCGTTTCGATGAAAAGGCCTCTTTCGTAAGGTAAGGTCAAAAAATAAATGTTATATCCTGGCGAATGAATATGATATTCGTGTTCATCGTATTGGATAACCCTATTGTGTAAAAATTTAGCGAATTCTGAGGTTTCGCGGCTTAATTATTGACAGATTGCCCTTAAATCTTGACGCATCTGACTTGTTCTACATCTCAAAGGCGCCTTATCTTAGTTCGTCTTCAAATTTCGCTTTTTTGCTGATTCTAATGTGTCAACTTTTAGCTACATGCTGCCTATGATTCCTTTATGCTATGTTTGATTCAGATTTTGTATGGCTTCATATTTGCCAAAAAAACCGTAAACCCGATTTCCAAGGGTTTTCGGAAAATGCTTAAATTTTTTCTACTACATTATCATAAATCAAACAGTTTGCGAATGCTTACCAAATCTTCACGATGCCAAAAATGAGAGTGCTATTTAGTTAGAAGAAAGTTATGGGAAAGTTGCAAAACTTATATGCCAACCTAATATTTGTTAAGCGGTTGCAAAAAGGCAACGTTCAGGCTAATCTGGACGCTGCCTTCATGCAATCGCTCAACTGATGGAGATCATTTATTTGGTCCCAAAAAGCAGTACTCACAATAAGGTCCATGTTTGTTTGCTGTAGGGCTACTGCCTCTGGAAGCTCATGAATCGCTTCACAGGTGAGAAAAGAATCGGCGGTTTTCCGCTATGTGATAAAAACAGTCATTCGAGAAAAGGATTTACAGAAAGTTATAATAGCACTTGAATTCATAATTCACGTTAAAGCTGCAAACAGAAACTGGTCTCATAGTTTTTTATGAAATATCTTTCCAGGTGTTAACAATACAGCCCTTGGTCGGTGTGTGGCTATGTCTCTGGAGGAAGAAACTGTTGATGCCGCTGAATGGATCAGTGCACCATGCGATCACAGTTTACCATTCGTTTGTCAGCGAGGTTTGCATGAGCTCCTTACTCTAGGGAAGTTCACTTACTCGAAGTGGCGATTCGGAAGGAGATCTATACCAATGAATAGAGCTTAAAACGCTGATCTCAGATTTACCTTCTATATCTGCGACGCGTTGCCCTTCCTAGATCACACTTCCATTATATATACAAAAAAGCCCATAACCTCCATCTAGAAGAATGCGTCGCAGATATTGAAGACATATTTGAGAACATCGTTCTACGTTTTATCCATAGGTAGTTTCCAAAAAGTTTCCGACGCGACGCGTTCTTCTAGATGGAGGTTATGGGCTTTTTTGTATATATAATGGAAATGGCGACCTGTGGATAAACAATGGTCGGAAAACACTCGAAAGCTTTCGGATGAAGTCAAATTAGACCTACAATGCTTACTAGGTGGTTTGCTTGAGCTTGCACATTTTTGTGTAGCAATTATCATGATTTTGTGACTCAAAATGCACGAAAATTTGGCTTTAGAAAAGCCCATAACTTTTTTAAGAACAACGCATCGCAGATATAGAAGGTATATCTAAGATCAGCGCTTTAAGCTCTATCCATCGATATAGATCCCCTTCCGAATCGCCACTTCGATTAAGTGAACTTCCTAGCGATGACATGTCAATTACCTTTCTGGAACATGACGCTCTTCGTTACTTTGCGCCTCAAAGTTGACAGTTTGTCAAAAGAAGGAACAATTAAGCTGAAAGAGCACGAGCTTGACAGAAGCGATAAATAATGGAAACCATAGAAAAATGACGTCCTTTCCTCATAAAAAGGTTGACAAATAGCAAACTTCCAGGATTGCAATGCTAAAAGTTTGCGTAGAGGAATTTATGGCCCGCTGACGCGAATGTCGCATTGATATCGCAAATGAAGCCTAGTTTTACTGTAGGTGTAAGTAGGTGGGTCAGAATTTTGCAGCTGGATAACTTTGTTCTTTGTAAAGCTGGTAAGGATCATATATGTCGTAGCTTGCAACCTGTATCGCGCCCAAAAATTAGGTCTGCAGCTAAGTTTTGCAGCTTTCAAAAACGCTTTCCTCTTTTTTGACATTACATAGGTTGTGATATACGCCACAAAAATGCTCATACCATTTGTTTTTGAAAACATAATGAAGAAAAGCATTTTTCGAAAAAAAAACGTAAATCATGTTTCATGATTTTTGAGCAAAGCTAAAGTAGCGCGCAACCTGAAGTAAACAAATCAAGAGAGTTGTAAGCAGCAAGTTTCTAGAGGTTGACTTATTACAGGGTGGGGCAAAAGTGTGAAAGCCCTGTACTTTTCCAAATAAAAACGGAAAGTACCTAGAAACAAAAAGTTGGTGCACACATAACTCGAACCTTCACAAATACAGCGCAGCTCTTAAATATTGAGACTGCCTCTTTTGGCTTCGAAGCAGCCATTCCAAACCATGGCGGCCACGCAGGCTGTCATAATAAAATTCGTCCTCCGCCTTGACGATAACCGTTTTTTTTTACACTAGGAAAGCAGTATGATAGAGCAGGCTCGTAGCTACAACATATTACGAAGAAATTTTTCTGCAAAATTTAATCAAAACATTTTGAAATTTCAAGTGAAGGCAAGTGTATTCGCATACTGGAAATTTGAATGCGATTGCGCGGGGCGAAAAATCATGATCTAAAAAGAACTGGAATTGCTCCATTGATCGAATTTGAATAGATGCTTATAAGACTCATGGAAAGAATTGAGCCAAAAACTCGGTACCTGCTGCGCTCCTATAGCTTTCAGATTTACTTCAAAGACAAATGGCGCACGCAAGTAATATTCGCAAATGTTTGTTTTGCTTTATTGAAAATAGTTTCTGGCAAACCCAACTACTATGACTTGATATCGCAAAGCCTCCTTTACATTATATGCATCAAAGTGATGTAGAACATTCACAGTATCTTCAAATTGTGAATATTAAGAATTTTGATTTTCTCGATCTGCTGAAGCACTTGTTTGATAAATTCAATTCTTGTAAAGAGATATGACAAGTGGCAAGCTTTTTCAGCTAAGTAAAGTGTGGTTTGTAGAGGATGAACGTAGTATTTTTTTTAGTGTTTTCGTGAACGTAGTATACGGCACCCATTTAGAATCAAAATCATTGGTAGTTTCGTGATTTACAACACTGCAAATTCTGCTCCCAGACTTGTGCATTATTGTAATGCACATCGTTTCGCTTTTACCTCATAAGTTCTGAACAGTCGTTCACGAAAACAATGAACAATCTCTGAGCTCATAAGGCTTGAAGTTGCTTCAATCGTCGACAATTTTAAAACACCATAATCAGTAATGAATATACAGATAAATCCGAATATCTGTTTTTTTTTCGTTAAATAAAATTGAATAACTAGCAATCGCGCACATAACTGAAGACAAAAATTTTCAATAATCGTGTTGAACCGTGTACCAACGAGTGTCACATCTAAATGAAATATAATATTTACTCAGATAATCGCCGGGAGTAGGCGGCCATGCGATTTATGGGCAGGCGGGCACCAGAAAATCAGTTCGCTAATTCCTTGCGGTCTGCATGCAGATATCTTCTATATATATAAAATCGTTAGCCGTATTCAAAAAAGCGGCAGGGAGCGGGAAACCGCAAGGCGGTCCCGCAGAGCCGGCGCCGGAACATCAAAGTTTACGCCGGGAACTACCAAGTTTTGAATGCTTTCTAACTGTTTTGGTAGTAATTTTCCTGGTTTTTGTCTCTTTTGTCATCCTCGCTCTCTATTCCTAATGTCTTCTTTCTCACCTTTCCTTTCAGATACCTTACCTAGACGTTTTGGTCTCATTAGTGAGATTGACTGGAGCTTGGAGATATCTACAAAAGGGCTTTTTTGTCGAGGCACGCAGTGCTGGTGGAAACTGATGTCCGATTGTGATATCCGTAATTCTGCCAGCAATTGAAGAGGAGCAATCTGTTTTTACATTTGTTAACGATTCATTCGTGTTGCATTTTTCATCACGCACGAGTTTATAGCTATAACATAATAGCAGATGTTGGTGAGTCAGGTGCGCAAGCTTAACTAATCTGGGCGCTCTACTTCTTGAGAAGGAGCTAAGGTTTGCGCTGTCTCGTTTCTTCTTGTAGTTAATGTCTGCGTAATTCTGCAAGAGATGCTTTATCACGGTTGGTGCTCTTGAGTTAGAGTATGTACAAAAAGATGAGTTTCATGTGAGAGCGATGTAGGCATCCGACCAATTCCGGAAATCCTGAAACCCGGGATACGACAACTACCCATGGCATGCCTTGTATTGTCTTGTATGTTAGAGTTTGGACATATATTTTGGCGTCGCAGCGTATCCAAGTTTCTTCAGAACAACTTACAATCTTTCATCAAGCTGATTTTTTCGTTACTATGTTGCACAGATATCGTCGGAAGTGACTGGATTAGATCATGGATTAGCTGATTGACAAGTTTGCAGTTTATCGATGTGTATCGCAGCAGCTTTCCAGTGTTATGACTGATTTAGTGCTTAGACATAGGCTCGGTAAACTTCCGCGCTGGTGGTTTGTCATTGTTGTGTTATTCTGCCTTTCTCCATGTCATTGCATGTTATTCCGCTTTTTTCATGTCATTGTTATGTTCTGCTTTTATGTCATTATCGTCCCTTCCACGGTTGCTGCTACCATCGGTCTGCGTCTCAGACCTGCTATGTATGGCTACACCTGCCATGTGCGGCTATATTTTTGCAAGGTGGGAAAGACATGCTTGCAACATGCAGCAACATGTTGGCAGAATACTTTTGCTGTTAGTGTCAACGACAACATGTCGTTGCATTTTGCAAGCATGTGTTGCTGACGTTGCAAACATGTTAGCCATACGTAGCAGGGCTGAGACGTAGAGTAGCAGCAGCTGTGGAAGGCACGATACATCTGTTCGGATTAGCATTATGCGTTGTTTTGATAGAGATGTGCTCACCATCCTCTCTATCCACCCTGAGCGTTGCCTTTCAGATCGCTGCTATCGGCGCGAGTCAAGGTACAGACAGAGTGCGGGATTCGGGTCTTTCTATTTTAGTTTCCCTCTCACTAGGTTATCAGCATGCCAAATGCAGATAGGCGTTTTTTGTGCAACTCCAGTCAAAAAGCACGTTTCAAAAAATCTGTCCTGATATGTGGTCGGGTGCTCATGACCACCAGGGGTATTCTTAGTAGCGGATCGCACAAATAGGATACACAGGTGTTCCAATATGAATGTCGAAGCTCCAGTGATGCGGGTTTCGCGTACCCGCTTCGCTCGGGTTTCGCGCCTTATCCGCGGATGTATCCTAGGACACTCTCTCACGCTTGAGCGATGTTTGAAGGCTGGCGAGCTTGAAAATGTCCAGAGTATGGTTCAATGCGGCGCAAAGCAGCGAAAACCGTGTGCGACCAAGCCACTGGAACTTACGCTCGTACTGAGACCACCCGTAACTAGCTTCGCAAAGATCTTTTTTGGCTGTCCGAGGTGTTCTGTGCTCCTGTTGGAAGTATCGGGGATCGTTTGAAGCCCTAGTGAGGGGATATGGCTGGATTGCGAGCCAGTAAGGCTCCACACTTCTAGCGGAGCACAAAAGCTCAACAACATCAGCCTTGCCTTCGTAGTTTATTCATCACTTGTCAAACGAGTTGTCAGATACGAAGCTGTGGCCATTCAAAAAACGATGGGTAATTTGGTCTAAAATGGTAGTTGTTTGGCTTAAACAGATAACGAATGCAACACAAAAGTCTCAAAGTAGTGCAACAATGGCGGATGCAAGCTGGGGGGGGGGGGGATCGTGAGATGTTTTTGGGTAGCATGAGTTGTGAAATCATGAAAGAAAATGTCTTCTGTAATCAAACTTAGTATTGTCGGCATATTTAGCGCTACGCTTTTCGAAATTTTGAAGCTAGAACCTGCAAGAAATTTCAATTTTCGGGATTTCGCGCTGGGCAAATAGTAAATCTGTCGATAATGACCTCCCCACCCCTCCCTTTTATAACTGAGACTGTCAAAAGATAA